TTATACCCCGCATAAAAGTACACGAAGAACATGCAGTAAACATATATCATTTCAAACAAGTTGTGAGTTTTGAGTGTCCCCTTGGTACAAGTATTTTCCACCTTTTTGTCTTTTTCTCTATCAGTGATATCAGTACATCATATCATTCTATTATAGACAGCAAAACTACAAATGAATATTGAACATACTACATTATCAAGGAAACCCCCAATCAATTATGATCGCTGTTATCCTACACTCTAATACCGGTTGCTGTACTTTTTTATCAAGGAAAAAAATACCCATATCTATACGTTTTTATTTTTGGGAAAATGAGTTATCTTTTTTGGTTGTTGTCTATCATATTTGTTTTTCGTTTGTTTTGAACATAAATTGACAATCATACCACATCTTCTTATTTCTTTTATTGATAAATATATATTAGAGAAGTCTTTATTCGATAATATAAACATTAAAAAACACTACATTTATGTAAAAGAAAAGTTTTGAATAAAATACAGTGAATATCCTTGAAAGGAACATTCAAAGTATACAATACATTCATGAATAAAACACAGTATACATGAATATGATTTTTCTTAAAATGTCCTGTACCAAGTCAGAAAAATGGCTATTTTTATCTTAAAGTTCGTTTCTGTGTGTGTTACATTTTAGTGTTTCTGTTGTGTCTTTGTTCTCCTCTTATAATTGATGTGTTTCCCTCAGTTTTAGTTTGTAACCCGGATTTGTTTTTTCTCAATCGATTTATGAATTTCGAACAGCGGTATACTACTGTTGCCTTTATATATCTACGGGAGCCATCTATAAGTTTTATGGCAGAAGATGACTTTCCCCATTTGTCTGTAGTTCTTGGCGAATAATTTTCGACGAACGTGTGGAAATGTCAGAAGCATACTTACTTCTTTATTTTGTTACGAATTTGCTGTCTTTCTAATTTGCGTTCATCAATATCATTGTTATGTTCATTTGTTCCCGTTAGTAACACTTTACATTATCAGTCAGTCCTAATTCTATATTTGTACATTTTTTTGTGCATCTCCAGGAAATGTTTCTATTTTCAATGTAGTATCTATTCGGCAAGTATATCTATCAAAAATCAAGGACCTTTTTAATTTTATCTGTCTCAGAGATAATAAAGTCCATCTTGCTAGTGGACTTTCAAATTGTTTATGGGTGGACAATTGGTGAGTGCAATGGCATGGTTTTTTTTTTGTTTTGTTTATCGGTAGTGAGGCAGAAGAGGTCCATTTCTGTGTTTTTGCATTTGGAAGATCTTCTGTCTCTCTTCTTCCTCTTCCTATTAAATAGATATATTAGACGGCAAAGGGACATAACAAACATGGCGTCGTTTAGTCCAAATGACATTGATAAATTTATGAATGCAGATATAATAGAATGTGAGCTGTTTGATACACGTTTATATTGTATGGCAGTTTTTGTAGGACATCCCTGTAGGGACAATAAGCTGGATGAAGATAAATATTTGCTTGCAATGTTTTAATTCTGAGACACAAGTTACAACGTCTGCTTAACAGTAGTTTTATAAAATATAATCACAAATTTCTTGTTAATTTATAACATTTTCAATCGGATATCCCAACTAAAAACAAATAATGAAATATCCGATGAAAAATGTAAAAAAAAGAGAAATTGGTGGACTTTATATTACAACAGTGCGTGCTTATTTTTTTCAGCTCTTACCAGGCCAGCATATTCATATTCAAAATTCTCATACCCTCCCCCCCCCCCCCCCCCCTCTCAAAAAAAAAACAACAAAAAACAAAAAACAAAACAAAAACAAAACAAAACATCAAATTGTCAGTGTCCCCTTATTTTACAAGAGTTTTATCTCGCAAACGTGGATTTTTGTTCGCACAAACGTAGGACGAATTCACGCAAACGTAACGCGTGTGAATAATTATATATATAAATTAATAAAATTTCATAAATTCATAAAATAATGATTTTTAAATAAATTGAATTTCATATGTCTAAGATAGCTTAAACTGCAAAAGAAATAACAATGTCATGCCAGACAGTTATTTTTAAGAAGATATTTAACTTTATATCTCGATTAAGAACGATTTTCTTTACAAGACAAGTTCAGACGTAACCAGCTACCGTCCTTGCCAAATTTTTACTTTAAAATATGATAAAAATATAATAATATGATATTTCTGCATTTTGTATCAAAGATGCCTTAATAAAGGAATCAAAAAGATTACAGGATACATTTGTCCTGGCAGATTAGATTTGTTTAGGGTTAACGAAACATAAGTTTATAAAATTTTATATTTTCATAAAGCTTATACTTCAAATTTTTCAAAGGGAAAAAATTGCATGCCAGACATGCATTTCAAAGAAGATACTTAACTTTATATTTTAATTTTGAACGAATTTCTTCCAAAGTTCTGACGCATAAGCCTAATGTCTGGCAGATTTTTTTCTTTTACCATGAACAGACGAAAAATAAAAATATGTAAAATTATGGATTTATAGAAAGATTGTTTCCTAAACTTTACAATCGTATATAAATATTATGTCAGACAGGTGTTTTGCAGAAATTATTTTTTTTAAACTTATTAATTTCTATTCATTTACAAAGAATTTAAGTAAATAATCCTGTTCTATGTTATGCAGTTCAAATTTTGACAATATGTTGAGTTAAAAAAATGTTACAGATGAAAAATTATCAAAAATAACTGTCCTGGTTTTATCTCTACTGATCTACTCTCCAGGGGCGTGTTTTTTTTTTTTTTTTTGTTCTTCGGTAGAGTGCCAGAAGAGGTCCATTTCTGTTTTTTTGCATTAGGAAGATCTTCTGGCTCTCTTCTACCTCTTCCTTTTAAATGATAGTTTAGACGGCAGAGGCACATAACAAACATGGCGTCGATTAGTCTAAATGACATTAATCAATTTATGAATGCAGATATAATAGAATGTGAGCTGTGTGATAAACGTTTTATGGTATGGCAGCCTTAGTAGGACATCCCTGCAGGGACGATAAGCTGGATAAATATAAGAACTACACGGACAATATCAGTAAGGGGACGACTATTTGATATTCTGGGGAGGGGGGTAGAAGGATATTTTGCGGATTAGTTATTCATTTGAATCTGTCGCTAATCATGCCTATTTTTCAGCTCTTACTTGGCCACCATATTCATATTTAAAATCCTCTTGTCCCCCACCCCACCGAAAAAAAAAATATCAAATGGTTTTCCCCTTGATTAACACAAGTTTAAATTGATTGATTGTTGGTTGCTTATTTTTAACGTCCAGTGACAAATATTTCATTATGTTCAGGAAATCACGAGTTAAAAAGTCAGGTGTATGAACATAAGGAGATGTAGTATGATTGCCAATGAGGCAACTATCCACCCACATTCAAATGAAGTGGATGTAAGCAATTGTAGGCAACCGTACGGCCTTCAACAATGAAAAAAAACTCATATCGTATAGTCGGCTATAAAAGGCCCCGGCATGAAAAATGTGAAATGGATGTAAGCAATTGTAGGCAACCGTACGGCCTTCAACAATGAAAAAAACCCATACCGTATAGTCGGCTATAAAAGGCCCCGACATGAAAAATGTGAAACAATTCAAAAAAAAAAATTACGGTCTAATTATATTTAACAAAACAATTTACAAAAAATCATACATGAGTCGACAGACAACCGCTGAACTACAGGCTCCTGACTTGGGACAGGCACATAAAGAATATGGCATGGTTAAACATGTCTGTCGGAGCGCTCAACCCTCCCCTAAACTGGGACAGTGGTGTGACAGTACAACATAAAAGCAACTGTAAAACCAGTTGCAATTAAGGAGCTACCATTTGATTTTTATGGGGTGCTAGGATGAAAAATTTTGTCCTGCATTTTGTTTTAGTTGTAATCTCTGTCCTGCCTTTTTTTCACTCTATTCGGTCTTGCCTTTTTTTTTTTATTAGTTTATCCCGACTTTTTTTACAGAAATTGTCATCCTTCCTTATTTTTTGCCAAGTTGCTCATCCTGCCTTTTTGTTTTACTCAAAACTCCTGTCCTGCCTTTTTTTCAAATTTCATCCTAGCCCCTCCCATAAAAATGAAATTGTAGCTCCCTTAGATTAACTCAAAAGATCGGTACGAGATACAAAAAAAAAAAAACAACTACCAGTAAGACAATAGACACAAAGCACCGAAATAAGAGTATTTGCAGATACTGAAAGTTTGTTCAAAGCTATTTACAAATAACACTGAAATAAATCTTGTTCTCCCAGAATAAAGTATTAATCAGTACACAACCAACGGATTTAGTCATAAACAAACGCCGTGACCTTGTATACCTTGTGGTGGTCCGAAAGTTTTTACCACCGAAATTTTGCAATAGAAATAATTGTTAGGAGCAGCAGATTTTCCTCAAGGACCACCAGGGAAAAGAGATTTTGAGAACTCTGCGATATCTTTGCTTTATACAAAAATAATCCAGTTTGGTTACTTTAAAAAAATTTGGTAGACAAGATGTCATTTTCGATCATATACCAGAAAAAAATTGACAAATTCTTGTACAGTTTAAGATTATTCATGGAAATCAAATGGTCGGGGCTTTAAGCCGCGGAATTGTTTAGCAAAATTTAGTTAGGAAAGCATAAAGAAAAAATGTCACGAACACAGCGATTTCTTCCAACCAATTTTCTTTGTTTTTATACTAATTGTAAAATTACATCAATGCCAAAACAGAGCACGTGCACCATTACAGTCATGTTTACCGAATCGGAACTGACGTATCTTAATTTTCTAATAAATCATCGTAAATTTCATTTATGTCATCCAACATATAAAAAATATTCTGCTATATTCGACGGCAAATTGAATTTTTGTTTTATTGCTTCTTCTACAGAATATCTCCAGAAGAGGTGCAGATTCATTTTTTTGTATTCTTCACCAGAAGACATTCTGGAGATGTACAGAAGAGACCAATAAAACACGCCCCTGTTCTATCCTTTATTCTTCTCCGGAAGTAACTGACTGACCCTGTTGCCAATCAAAACAACAATTTGCAACGAAAATGTCGGTCATCAGCTGGTTATGAGGCACCAAGATTGTTACTTTGTACTAAGAAACTTCGAAACCAATACCTTACATGAAACAGAAGGCTCAAGGTGGCTATCAAAATGATTTATTGAACAGCACCCCATTCATTTACTATTATGACTTTTAATGACATAATAATGTGTTTAAAGGGGTCCACGTGGTTACAACTTGCAATATTATGTAATCCGCGGCGGGGTTAAACACGTTTTGTGAGATTTTGTAAATTTGGCCATAGTCATTACATATAGATATTGCATAAACATGATAAAGGGGGGTTATAATTTATTTATTAGAATTATACTTACAAATGTAACAAAACTGAACATACCTTATATTTCGATACGTCTTTGGTCTAGGGGAATTTCTATCATGAGCTTCGTAATTAATTAAGAAATAATTCATGGGGACTTGAATATATCGTGATTTTACCATGGGTTGGCCCTTTATGACAAATATTTTACCCTGAGCGATAGCGAGGGGTAAAATATCGGCATAAAGGGACAACCCGTGGTAAAATCACTATATATTCAAGCCCCCATGAATTATTTCGATTCTAATAGGACAAATACGGCAATTGTTTTGGAACGAAGCGCTCTAGATGAAGGCATTATTTGCCGTTCCCATAAATAAACGCACTATTACATTGACGTAAAAGACCGGAGCAAACTGAATAAATGACATGCTTAAACTATTTACAATAACATATTCAGATAGGTTTAGATAAATCTAAATGATAATTGTACTTAAATGTCTTATATGTATACAAAAAAATGGCTAATATAACACATTTAAGCATCGTTTGTTTACGTTTCCTTGTTGTGATGATTTTCGGTTTCACAAGCGTGTATTTTCCCGTAAAATGCTTATATTCTTACGTCATCGTTCTATGACGTCGGGTAGCTCATTCATAAAAAAGCATATGACGCGGGAGTACGATCGGAACAGCCCAAACAATATATCCATATTTTACCACGGGTGTGTACTTAAAGCGTTTGAAGAACGTCGTGTTAGAATCTAAAATATAATACATGACATGATGTAATAAAAAATGATATCATCTATACTGCGAAGGTATAACATACATGTTTGTACTTGCTTTTGCTTAGTAAAGGACATATATGCATACAAACTCACCACTAATGATGGTTGAAAATAAGTCATACAAAAATAGGATAGGATAATAAAGATTATGAAATAAACTCTGGGATATCTTTGTTAATATATTTTTGATGGCTTTTTATACATTGTTATATCAAGGCTGCAGAATGTCCTTTAATTTCATTTCGCTGTATTTGCAATTTTTCATTTTGCTGATTTTATCCTGTTTTTCTCACTTGGATGTCAAATATATGCAATACCAGGTTTATTATACTTTTACATACACATATCTCAGTTGCAATTGATTTGTCATTGTATTTTCATAACTATTTCTATATCAATATGTATGTACTATCTAGAGTATAATTATTTCATGTGTAATACATGTGATATATCAAATAATGATTGTTTATTTGAAAGATTTCGTGTATATTATATTGTGTATTTTGTAAATCATCCAGTGTTTGTTGTAATATCTACTTAAAGTCACCAAAATTCAATCAAAAAAGAATACTGTATAATTGTCCTTTAAACATATAGTTAAAAAATGGATAATTAATCAAATACAATAGCTCAATTAATTGATAAATACCTCAGCTTCCTCATGTTCTTTTCCGTGTGTGATAACGCGATTTTGAATTTTATGTATGACCTATTTCGTCTCACAGGCGCTCCCATTGATAACAAATTCAAAACAAAGCACGGTCGAGTGATATAATTCAGTCAGGGGTACTACTTGTACAAGTAATCTTTATTTACTTGAAGAAGTAAAAAAATATACTTATATAAGTTAATTAAAATGTTTGAATAGTCTCCCCTTAATTTTCTCAAAAATTTACTTGTATAAGTAAATTTTTTTACAATCCCACAAAAATTCTAAAGTTTTGAGATGTAAAAACATGCCTTTAATGATTTTTACCAGGTTAGCTCATAATTTTTGATTAGAGTTCAATGTTTCATATCATTAATTCAACAAAGAAACTGATTCCGCAAAGATCTTAAGTACATTTTTTGTATTTGCGCAAGGCCTTCAAAAATTGTCCCTTTGGGGCTTGTAAATGAGCAGTGTTCTGAAGATAACAGACAAGTGAGATTTTCATTGTCCATGAAATTACACTTACATGATTAGTAAAGACATCTGCAAAGGACAGACAATTTAAAATTCTATTAGAGCAAAGTCCTAAGAATTCAAGAAAAGAAGATAGGATGACTTTTTTACTTAAATACATGTAAGTAAAAAAATCTGAATGTCTAAGGGACATATAACTAAGCCAAAAAATATCTAACTATACAAGTAAATAAAATACACTTGTATAAGTATCCTACAAATTTACTTATATAAGTATATTGATATTACCACTTCAAGTAAATCAAAATTACTTGTACAAGTAGTGTCCCTGACTGTTCTTGTTAATTATGAAATATGTTAGTGAATGAATAAAAGGCGAGTTGTTTATTTAAAGTTTTATAGATAAAATATGTACAATGCACAATAATCATGATAATGGGCATTAGATTTAAGTATTAAGTATCAGCGATAATTTATGATCTTAATGAATACCGGATAAACATGCACTGAACATAATTTATCAGTTGAAAGTACATTCAATTTGTTTTTTAGAGATGCAAAACATTATTTCATAACACTGTGTGTCACACCAAGTTAAAACAATGAATAATCTATCAATAAAAACTACGTACAGTTATAAATAAATTTTCTAACTATAACACGACCAAATAGTACTTAAATTTAACGACGAAATTACGTAACACAATATTAGAAAACGTATTACTAAGGTCAGGTGGACGTCAAAAAAACAGTATTAGTTGGAAACGTTGAAATGACGTTATAATTATGAAATGATTAACGTAAAAAATCTACGTCAGAACAACGTTATTATGACGTGTTTGTTAAATTCAATAACGTTATGTATATTGCACGTCGTGAAATACGTAAAAGTTCGACGTTATAAAAACGTCATTACAACGTATTTTCAAAAGCCCAGTAGGTAAATATTACGTTTAAAATACGTCATGCTTTACGTTACCAAACCTCGACGTCAAACTAAGGTAACAATAGCCGTTACCTATACACAACCAAATTATTACGTCATGCTTACGTCATGTATTTCCTGAGCAGCTAGAGCCCGCCCCCAGGTGCGGGAGTTTCTCACTGTGTTGAAGACCCATTGGTGGCCTTGGGCTGTTTTCTGCTCTTTGGTCGGGTTGTTGTCTCTATGACACATTCCCCATTTCCATTCACAATTTTATCAATATGATATTTCCTGTTAACTAATCTGTAGCTCCGCCACTGTCAGGTGCACTACCAAACAGTGTATTTGGGATTTGCCATATACACAGATCATAATTACACCTGAACTTCGTCATCATACAGGGATTTATACTACTAAATTCAATCATTGAGCAAAAAAAATATATATAGATCTACAAAGTGTATGTACATGACTCCTCTCCTGGCTATCCAGACTGCTGCTTGTAAAGTCCACAAAAAGTTCTCAAAATGTAATGATTCAATCAATAACTGATATACATTCTAAGAGGTTGTAATGGGAGTGTGTTTTCCTTCTGACTCCGTTGTCTACCCAAGTTCTGGGATATTGGAAAAGTAACTACGTATATAAATAAGATGTTTATTGTCTCGTTTTGACGGAGTCAAAAAGCGAGACATAGGAATGTTGTTTCCGGCAGCGTCATCAATGTATTAGTTTGTGATTAGGTCTAGTTTATGGTGACCCACTAGTGGTAGGTTAATGATATTTGGTATGCAGTTGTATTAGCATTGGCACATCTCATTACCATGGAGATTATTTGGCCCCACCCCTCAGTCATGCTCTATTGACTTTGAAACTTTTGCTTAGTTTTCATGTATTAGTTTGTGATTAGGTCATTTTATGGGGAACCACTAGAGGTAGATCAATGATATTTGGTATGCAGTTGTATCAGCTTTGTAATATCTCATTTCCATGAAGATTATTTGGCCCTGCCCCCTCAGTCATGCTCTATTGACTTTGAAACTTTTGCTTAGTTTTCATGTATTAGTTTGTGATTAGGTCAGTTTAAGGGGAACCGTTAGTGGTAGGTCAATGATAATTGGTATGCAGTTGTATAAGCATTAGCACATCTCATTTCCATGGAAAATATTTGGTCCTTACCCCTCAGTCATGGTCTATTGACTTTGAAACTTTTGCTTAGTTTTCATGCATTAGTGTGATTTAAGGTCAGTTTAAGATTAACCACTAATGTTAAGTCAATGATATTTGGTATGCAAATGTATTGGCATTGGCAAGTTTCATTTCCATGGAGATTATATAACCCCACCCCCTCATTATGGTTCATTGACTTTGAAACTTTTACATAGTTTACAGGTTAATGTTTGTGTTTAGGTTTGTTTAAGGCTTAAGGGAACGACTTATGAAAAGTCAATAGTATTTGGAATGCAGTTGTATTAGCATTGGCACATCTTATCTCCATGGAGATTGTTTAGCCCTGTACTTTCAGTCATGGTTCATTGATTTTGAATATTTGCATAACTAACATGTTAAAATATTGCTATTTTAATTTCAACATTTGCATTATCAAAATAAAAAATAGGCGAGACATTTCTCTGTGTTAACAGTTTATTTTAAAGGTGTAATACCACCAAATCATAGTACGTCACATCCGGTTGCATACGAAAATAGGTCGAAAAAAAATATTCCCTTGAATTTGACAGTTGTAGGTAATTGATCCTACATTTCATTGCAGTAAAACATTTCTGGGTCATAAACATATATCTTGGGTATTTCAAAGCACCATTATTTTTTTATTTGGGGTTTCTATGAAATATTTTGGAAACTTGAGGTTACATGGTTACTAAAGCTTGTATACAGGTTAAAAAAGGGGGAAAATTTGATTGGTTAACTTCCAGTGATGGTTATTTTCTTATATGCAATGAAATGTTATGTGAAATTTTTTCTATAGTACTGGACAGGATCAAACTTTACTCATGCCAAGTATTTCTTTATTTGAAACAAAGATAAATTCTGCACAATTTTTTGAAAAGTGCAAATTTAACAAAGACTAATAGGGGAAAATCAATGGTGGTATTACACCTAATATGGGAAGCTGTACATGCACATTTGACCTTGTGAGTACTCTCATGTGTTAAAATTTCTTGCTATTTAAGTGAAATATTACTAATAATGAAATATTCTGAGTGGATTGAGTCTCCAAAACACATTTTATGAGAAAATTTCCTTGAAATAGGACTTTACCATGAATATTAGTTGACAGAATAAGCCATACTTAGAGTTTTGGGGAGCTTTTTCTCCTTTTTTCTTATATTCTGCTATACTAGAAAATTTTTCCTAAGAAATACTTTAATAAATATATAGTTTTAAGTAAATGAAATTATTTTTAAAGCAGTAACAACAAATTATTCACCAAAAGAGAAGCTTTTTATGTCCCTCTCTGGAACGCGGCGTAAATTTAAGTTTTACGTAAGGACTTATTGAAACCTCCTTGGAGACAGTAAACTTTTATACGGATAGTTCATTCAGCTTGAATACTTCAATTTATCATTTATTATAACATTTCTATCATAAATGAGTGAAAGTTACCCCAAAATATTTATTTATTGGCCTATAAAGTAGAAATTTTGAGGAAATGAGAGGTATAAATGGACCAAAAGAGACCTTATAAGGAAGACAAAGAGGTCCATTGGTAGTATTTATCATCCTAAAGTCATCTTTTGTATCATATCCAACTGTTTGTAGGCAGATGAGATAAATATTTGATCATTTATTGGTCCACACTATATTCTATCATGATGCGGCTTGGTTTGGATTTTTCGAAGAAATTTAGCTCGAATCGCTGCAGATGTCGCCTTACATTATACTAGATTTTTCCCAAACTATTGAACTGATTATGACAAAACTTGACAGGAATGCTTGAAATAACCAGTATAACAAAGGAAAAAAGTCACATTCAGTTTATTTAACAAAAAAGTCTTCTTTAGGTGTAATACCACCAAATCATAGTACGTCACATCCGGTTGCATACGAAAATAGGTCGAAAAAAAATATTCCCTTGAATTTGACAGTTGTAGGTAATTGATCCTACATTTCATTGCAGTAAAACATTTCTGGGTCATAAACATATATCTTGGGTATTTCAAAGCACCATTATTTTTTTATTTGGGGTTTCTATGAAATATTTTGGAAACTTGAGGTTACATGGTTACTAAAGCTTGTATACAGGTTAAAAAAGGGGGAAAATTTGATTGGTTAACTTCCAGTGATGGTTATTTTCTTATATGCAATGAAATGTTATGTGAAATTTTTTCTATAGTACTGGACAGGATCAAACTTTACTCATGCCAAGTATTTCTTTATTTGAAACAAAGATAAATTCTGCACAATTTTTTGAAAAGTGCAAATTTAACAAAGACTAATAGGGGAAAATCAATGGTGGTATTACACCTAAAGACATATATGGTTTCAGAACACAAGTTTACATACAATAAATATAATATAAGTGGCGGTTGAAAACAAAACTTTACGACAAGAGATGATTTCAGCTTGTGAACTTTCCATTTCTATGTAGCAACATTCCAGCAGCGCCTGCATACGGAGTATATATCTCCCAATTGATATGATATTCCCTGGCTTGTATTTCCTTCATGATTTCCTTGATAGAGGATTGCTGCTCACAAGGAAGCTATATATTAAACCAAGAGTTCCAAATGGTGAAGTTGAAATCATCCTTTCGTAAATTTTACAGACGCCATCACGAGTTGGTTGACTGTTATGGAATAATCGTTTCACAGATGATATCTGATACATGTATGTTCCTTATGTCGTGACTACAATACCTTCCCTTTTCATGAATGTGACCTACCGAATTAGACTATTTACCGGATTTGTAATAACATAAGCAACACGACGGGTGCCACATGTGCTTACCCTTCCAGAGCACCTGAGATCACCCCCAGTTTTTGGTGGGGTTAGTGTTTCTTAGTCTTTAGTTTTCTATGTTGTGTCATCTGTACTATTATTTGTCTGTTTGTCTTTTTATTTTTGGCCATGGCGTTGTCAGTTTGTTTTCGATCTATGAGTTTGACTGTCCCTCTGGTATCTTTCGTCCCTCTTTTAGTGTACTTTTTGAATACATAGAGGTTCCATATCTGCAAGCCAAAGTATGAGCGTCTGCTCATTTCAAATCCTAAGCTGTAGACTGCCCTGAACCCGGTGAGTGACGTATGATACTTATAGTTCCTAGGTACAACGAGCCCGGCCAGGATGTCAGGCACGTGCAAGAAACAGGAAGTCCAGACAAGAATAATTACATGGCCGGTCTCGGGAGAAAGAGTTACAAAACTATAAATAATACTTATATTAACCAATTTACCCACATAAATAGTTTAATTAACAAGTAAACAAATTGACCACCATTAAAACAACTTGCATATGGACAGATAAAACCTTGAAGTAATAAGAACCAATGTATGTTACATTGCAGTTCATACAGCTTTTTAAATAAGCTTGGCATTAGACGACATACTTGTAGTGTTACTAAAAATATTACGGTTTCTCATAAAACTATCTCATTGTGGTAAAAGAATCAGTATACCTTGTAAATGTAACAGATGAAAAGTTTTCAACTCGACCTATCATGCTTATTAAGAGCGTAATACAATGTACATGATGTAGCTGATAACCTTAAAATAAAGTAACAGTTTGAGCAAACTTACTGAGATATTAAGTTATGTGGATTAAGTAGACTAGCTAGTACTTACTTTGTAGTTGCCGGTTAGAATAATTAACTATTTGTGTCTCCAAAAAGGCTCTCTTATTAGCTGCTCTCCTATCTTTATCCCCACTGCCAGGTTTGTTATCTCTTAGTTTGGTCCTTCAGTACCATCTGGTATCGTGCACTAAACATGCTAAAGATAATGAAAGTGAGTCTCCTTGCTTGAAATTCTATTTGTAACATGAGATCAATCAAAATTCTGTATTTCTTTTGTATTTTCGTAATGTCCATAATAACTTGATTTTTCATTGAACTTGTTCGTTCTTGTCTTATTTCACCATTTGAAAGCAAGAGGTGCTCATCCTGGTGAAATACAATGTACAACCGATTCATAAATGAAAATTTTGTTTTGTCCAATAAGATACCTATACTATTATGAAAGGCTATACTTAATTTTCTGTTTTCTCATTTGCAAAAAGCATAGGGAATCTTCTTTTTCAAAACATTATAATCACTGTGGGAAAAATCATGAGATTAATATTAAAGAATTGGAACAGCTAACCTGTACCTGAAAATAGTTATTCCAAGGTAACATCAAATGTTATACATTTTCGTTTTCGTTTTGTTCCATATGTTATAAATGTTTCCTAGGGGTCGCTTTCCAACTAGTAAATTTTATTGAATATTTCAACTTATAAAAGTTACCGTTACTGTCAAAAGCAAATAATATATTTATTATAGAATAAGGATCAGTTAAATATTTTTAAAAGCAATTACTCAGAAACTGGAAATGGATCAAAAAGTCATATTATGAAATTGTTGACTTGATAAAATGATTAATCAACCCCAGAGATGTGATATTTACTTCGTCCGTTTGCCTTAGTCAATATCACATCTTTGGAGTTGACCTAATTCTGACCCAATTTATACTTTTCCCAATTGGTTGATTATATATAGATTCTACCACTGCATCAAGTGTGATGTAATATTTATCTACTTGAGACAGTTAAATTTTCAAATTTAAAATGAGAGGCATGTCTTAAATAATTTTTTTTACACTTTGTACATATTGCGTAATATACCAGATTGCCTGTTTAACAACTCATTCCTGCATTAACTTTGAATGTCTCAACAGATTTAAATGTCACAGTGTCCCCTTTGTCAATATATAAATAACATATAGCTGAGAGGGTGATAGAGCAGATTGTTACCCTAAGAAAACATTGTCAACTGAGGCGAAGCCAAGATTGACAATGTCTTTTTGAGGGGTAACAATCTGCTCTATCACCCTCTCAGATATGTGTTATATAACTTATTATACTGAATGTTCTGTCACTAGAAAAACCAAAGTGCCAATTCGCCCGCTTACTAGCTATGATGCCTGTCAAACGCTAATATTATTGACTAGATCTATTTTCTAGTCATTCTGCATTTATATTAGCTTTCGTATTTAAAATTTGCTGTCCGTCATTTATTTTCGCCGTCTGCAGTTAAAATCGTCTTTCCGCTCGGCAAATTTGACTTTTCCTTATAATCCCTCTGATACCATCAGATAACGACGGCCCTTTAACAGACGTCCGATTTAATTACGAAGTAGATCTCGCGATATTGATCGTGAACGTTGTTTTAAAGTTATTACAATTATATAAATAATGTTTATGTGGTCTTTTTCAAATTAATACAGGTAAGGCTCAGAAGACTTTGAAAACATTCGAAATCGGTAAAATCATCCCAAAGTTTTAACACCACATACCTTGACGATTATGTTAAATTGTTTTCCCCAGGCATATACAATCAACCTGAATTGAGTTCACATCAAAGGAGATTGCCATTAGACAAGTAGGAGAGTTAATTGTATAATCTCGGTGAAAAAGTTTACTCTGATAGCGGCGATTCTTTTTAATAATATTAATTAAATGTTCTAGTTTCTTAATTATATTAGTATTGAAATGTTTCAGCTTACATTATATATATATATTCATTATCAAATCAAATTTATTATAAATTGTTAATTGTGAAATACGCACATTTTTACCAGTCAGGAACCATGATTGCGTTTAAATTTCTTCTTTATCAAACAGAAAAGTGGATTTTAAAATTATTTCCACTTTTAAATTTCAAAATTGAGATTTGTCCGACTTTAAAAAATTACCATAGATTTGCTTTAAATAGCGTAATAATCAATTAAATATTACAAGTTCCGTTGTCGTATTTACTGATCATCGTCTTTTCTTGATTTTAGGTGTGTATTGAATGGTATGTGAACAATAAACAGGCACGTGAAATTTTGTCATATAATTCATTATTATGTGACAAATAATTCTGCAATATGTCTCTGTCCAGACTTCGACAGAAGAATAAAATGCCAGTCGTGCATTTGATTTTGTTCAAGAATTTAATTCACATACCTGTCTATTGCATGTTAATAGTTTTGTTCATCGTTCAATTAAATTAATTAATCTAACACATGTTCTTTTAATTTTTTTTAATTTTCGGGTGAAGAAAATTTCTTTTAAAAACAGCTTAACAAAGTTGATTTACCAGTTTTGAGTAAGGTTTTCAAATCATGTTTGTTAGCATCTGCATTGCGAGTCAAGTTAATTTACGGAATTTGTGTATTCCTTCAGTAATCGCCAATTTTGATAGCATAGCGGTAGATATTCTCAAAAGAAATAAGCTATTGTATTTGAAAAAGTATGGCAATTGGACATAGTTGTTGTTTTACTATTGATGTACGCATGCTATGTTGTGTTCCTTTTTTCAGGGTTGTCAGTATAACATACATGTTAGTTTATTTAATGTATTAGTTCGTGTTCTATAATTTTAATAATCTTCAAAATGTGCTACTTTGAATTCTGTAATATTCACATTTCTAAATGAAAAAGATCTATTTTTACATTTATCCATTATTTAAAATATATATTACATAACTTTATTTATCAGTATCTTATACTGCTAGGTCTTCACGTAAATTGCTAACTTTTTATCTCGCTTATAAACATTGCTTATAATTATATTGAATGAAGACAAGCTATTTTCTCTTTTAAATCCCTTAAATTTTATTCTAATTTACATTTTCATGTACCGTAATATATCTCAGTTGAAGAAGATATTTTTGTTTACGATTGTGTTATGTTAAAATTGTTCTCAAGCTGCCGGTATGTTTCTTATTACTTATCTTATACTAATCGTGTATATAAAGAAGAAAATCAATACACAGTTGATAGCCGTCAGTGGCGGATTTACCCGGGGGATAATTGGCACGTGTCGAAGTCGAGAATTAGAAAGAAACAAAATGAATGATTGTCGATTGTATAACGTCCAGTGGCAAATAGTTCATGCATGCGGGACGAAGAGATCAACTGGCAGAAGGATAAAAAATTATAGTGGAATGGTAAAAAACTAATACGATATAGAAATATGGAAACTATTAAAATATTTTAATTTTGGATTTCATGATATACATATTTACAAATTAAGATAGCTAAAAAATAAAATATTAAAAATAATATACGTATTTTCCACAGATAATAATCTGGAGCTTGAATCTCTGATAATTAGTTTGAAAATTATCCTTATTTATTATATACCATTAATTTGGTTTAAATCAAATTTAATGATCTTAATCTATAAAATTTATAATCCCTTTGATTTCGATGATAATTACACCATTAATAGGTAAGTATAGTTAATTGTTGTGTAAACATTATTAGACAACGGATGTTTTCAAATCGTATTGACACCTGACAAATACCCTGAGCACTCTCAAGGTATAAATAATTCAGTTTGGTCAGTTGACAATACACGTGTCATTTCAACGGAAATTGATAGGAATATATATAGTTTAACTCAACAAAATTTCAAATCATTATTTTAAATGTTATGGATGCTTCAACCTGTTATTGTTTATCGTGTGCTTCGTATGGTGGTAAAGTGCTTTCCCAAAGGACAATACAAGAACATGCCCAGCGGATGTTACTTCAAGGTTACAAGTCTGCAGATTACCCGTGGTTGCAACAGTTTTTTCCTTCATCTTTGAACAGAAAGGCAACAAAGGTAAATATCTCCTTACTTAATATTTACGCAAGCTTACCACAATCTGCTTACCCTTCCGGAGCACCCTAGTTTTTGGTGGGGTTCGTATTGCTTATTCTTTAGTTTTCTATGTTGTGTCATGTGTTCTATTGTTTGTCTGTTTGTCTTCTTTCGTTTTTAGCCAGGCGTTGTCAGTTTATTTTCGATTTATGAGTTTGACTGTCCCTCTGGTATCTTTCGTCCCTCTTTTAGCATCTTGCAATTATAGAAGTAACGCGCCAGTGAAGTAATATTATATCTGTTAAATAAAATATTAATTAATGCAAAACAGACATTTTTTGGCATATAGTTCTCTCGATCAGGACAATTAATAATGAAAAATATTCTAATCTTGATATATGAGAATGTGATGAGGGTCTGGAAAGTTTAATTCATCACTGCTACTTAAAAAAAATGTCAAAACAGTAAATCTTTTGAGCTTCAAATTTGTGGATACAAGAACAATATCTAATACTATTTGAGAATTAAACGGTATATAAGTGAAAAATTACTACTTTCACAAGCTTTAAACACAAAAAAAAATAAAAAAATTAAAACATGAATTAAACGTATATGATATTTCTATGGGGTTGGGATTTTGTCTTCATTACATAGTTAAAAATCATCAAGAAATTAGAATAATAGGTAATTGTATTAAGTTTTCTCCACATTCTTTGACTAATTGTTTAACTGAATTAATTAACAACTTAAATCAATTAAGATAATTAACATGTGTGTTGGGTAATATCATACAGGTATTTATTGATGTTTCTCTTAACATGCAAAATAATCACCAAATAAGGTGGTATTTCTTCATTAAATTACGTTTTCAATGATTAAATTTCCACTTTAGTATGCTAAACATAATCAGGTCTTATTATATTAAATTAAAAGAATCATAAATAAAATGCTCCGCTGGGGCGCAGCTTGATACAACCGCAGAGGTCGAACCCTAAACAGTTGGGGCAAGTACCTTAATTGATTTCAGTTGTTAATTAATTGTCTGAACTAGAAAAATGCTTGTTTTTTGGCCCCAAATTCCTAAACGTTTAGGGCAATTACCCCCAAACTAAAACCCAGCTTTCCCTTTGTGATATGGAACCTTGCAGTACAATTTCATAAAGATCCATACACTTAAACAAGTTATTGTCCTGAAACTAGAAAAATGCTTGTTTTTTTGCCCTTTTATGGCCCCTAATTACTAAAATTTTGAGGGAATTACCCCCAAAAATCAATCCCAGTCTTCCCTTTGTGGTATGGTACCTTGCAGTACAATTTCAGAGAGATCCATACATTTGAACACAAGTTATTGTCTGGAAACTAGAAAAATGCTTATTTTTGGTCCCTTATTCCTAAACAATTACCCATAAAATCAATCCCAGCTTCCCTTTGTGATATGGAACCTTGTGATACAATGTAAGAGAGATCCATACACTTACACACAAGTTATTGTCATGAAACTAGAAAAATGCTTGTTTTTTTTCCCTTTTTTGGTCCCTAATTCCTAAAATTTGGAGGCAATTACCCCCAAAATCAATCCCAGCATTCCCTTTGTGATATGGAACCTTGTGGTACAATGTCAGAGAGATCCATACACTTACACACAAGTTATGTCTGGAAGTTACAAAAATGCGTATTTTTGGCCCCTTTTTCCTTAACTGTGGGTTCCATAACCCCCAAAATCAATCCCCACCTTCCTTTTGTGGTATTGAACCTTATGGTAAAATTTCATTGAGATCCATTCACTTAAACTAAAGTTAGAGTTCGAACACGATGACGCCGCCGCCAACGTCATACCAATATACGACCACACAAATTTTTTTGCGGTCGTATAAAAAAGGACAAATGTTATGTTATAAAATAATTTATTTATTTATCGTCTGTAAGAAAATACATAATAAATTTCTATGAATTGAATCAACAAACCAAATAAATATCTATCAAGTGAAATAACGACACAATACGAAACTATGAAATGAGAGAACAGACATTTACAATAAATAAGTATATAGTGGTAATCAACTATTTGCATATCACAAAAACTTTTATGTACAAATCAAAAATATCTACAAGTATTCAATTAATGTTTATCTGTCTTGCCAGCTTCATTTCAATATAACTATATCACAACCATTCTATGCACTTCATTTTAACAAGAGTGGACACAACCTGCAGGGATAGTATTGGCTTGAGTATTTTGAGCTGTTGCATGCAAATACAGTACCCTATGCTCTAGACCTTAGTCGTGTTAAAACTTAATAACAATATCAACTCAATAGCTTCCATCAAGACAAAAAGAGTGGCGAACTGAACTTATCACTAGTATGACATTTCTCTATGACTATAAATCAGTAAAAAAACATCATACAAGAGGAATTTGAACAAGAAATGTAGTGTTGTGGTAAAACTATGTACCAAATATCAATCCATCTTGAAACTTGACTATTATAAAGGTTGGAACTAGACCAAAACTCGAATATATAAATTTGTCATATATATATTTAATCAATATCTTCAAGCATGAAAGAAACTGATTTGCCATACTGAAGGAGGGACAGAGTTCTAACCTATAGTACCATTTCATCTTTGCCTACCAGAAAAAAAAATCATATCTAAACTGACGCAATTTGGTCATTTTTTATAAGAACACTGGCAGACATTTCTTGACATAGCTATATAGTGGTTAGTCCATAAACACATAACGAAGTCTATGGTCAAGTGTTGGTACACCTAAATGTCTAACAAGTTGGCAGGTTTCTAATACACTAATATCTTCCACTTGTGGCCAAACTTTGACGTTCTTCTTTGATGTATTTTTCATAAATTTAATTTCCAGTGGATCTGTCCCAATTATCTGCAAAAGGAAATTCTATGTTAATAAACTTTTACGAAAAAAAATAATCTCAAGCAAGACATTAGAAAAAAACATAAAAACATACAATAATTTTATTCTATTTTTTCTTTCTTGTATAATTTGGCAAGGTTATCCATCTTTGTTAATCCACAGAACTTTGTTGTATTAACAAGACGGCCAGATTTCAGGTTTACCAGAGTATTTTATTCATAATTTTGTTAAATTTCTATGTTTTTTAACTTTTAAGGAAGAAATCTACACTTCACAAAAACCAAGAAAGAACACAAATGTTGTTTAGTCTCTTTTGCTTACTAACTATTATCATTTTCAAATTCAAATGACAAATAAAGCATAAAAAAACACTTACCATCCCATAAAAGTTCTTGGCAGTCTTTCTTTTTGGGTCTTCCAAGGCAACTTCCACATAATCAGAAATCTGAATCCTGAAAAGAACCAGAAATTTCAAATAAGGGTACAACACATAATACTTTCAAAAGCTATAAGAAAGGAGAAAATATTAGTGGTGGCTCTAGACATTTCCATATTTGGGGGCCAACTGACTGCCTAAGAAGGGGCCCTCTCAGGTCATGCTTCAGTGATTTCCTATATAATCAACCAATTTTATTTATCAGAATATGGGGGGGGGGGGGGGGGGGGGGTAATCCGCCTCTGTATGAAACTAGAGGCTCTAAAGAGCCTGTGTCGCTCACCTTGGTCTATGTGCATATTAAACAAAGGACAAAGGTGGATTCATGACAAAATTGTGTTTTGGTGATGGTGATGTGTTTTTAGATCTTACCTTTACTGAACATTCTTGTTGCTACAATTATCTCTATCTATAATGAACTTGGCCCAGTAATTACAGTGGAAAATATTTTGTAAAAATTTACCAAAATTTATGAAAATTGTTAAAAATTGACTATAAAGGGCAATAACTCCTTAAGGGGTCAATCATATTTCTTTAAATAAATCTTTCACATGTATAATTATAAGCCATCTGTAAAAGTTTTATAAAATCCTTGTTATTTTTAGTAGTTTTTTGACCAATTAATGAAAAAAATCAAGAGAGAAAATTTTCCACCCAAAATTTCAATGGCTAATATCTTGAAAACAAGAACATTGACCTATATTTCTTTTTGGCTCTTTTGTTTCCTTTAATAATTCCCTATTAATATATACTAGTGTTTAATGTGAAAAGCTTGTAAATTTAAAACTTAGTAGTGAACCTTCTTAATTAAAGTAATATAAAAAAAAAAAAAAATAATTGTTAAATAATTCAAAGATAGGTTAGATTGTTGTCTCCTAAACTTACTTAAAACTTATTAATTGTAGTAAGTATGGTAAAAATTGAGTACCTTTGGTGGTTAATTGGCTGTTGTTCCACATCTGGCTGTTGTTGTAACTGTTCTGGTTCTTCTGTCTGTTTTTCTACCTCTGGCTCTTCTACTACCTCTGGCTCTACTACCTCTGGCTCTTCTACTATCTCTGGCTCTACTACCTCTGGCTCTTCTACTACCTCTGGCTCTACTACCTCTGGCTCTTCTACTACCTCTGGCTCTTCTACCTCTGGCTCTTCTACTGCCTCTGGCTCTTCTACTACCTCTGGCTCTACTACCTCTGGCTCTGCTTCCTCTGGCTCTGCTACTAACTCTGGCTCTTCTAAATCTGGCTGTTGGACTTCCGGTTGCACTTGGCGTTTCTTTTGTTTGGCTTGTTGGTAAACGAATTTCTGCTGCACTCTTCTCTTGTCTTTTATAAACTATATTAAAAAAATGTAAAAGAAAATGTACTTTCACTTTTTATATACCTACTATATATTCCACTGCTATTTTGGAATAAATATCCCAGATTACGCAGATATTTTAGAAACTCATGATACAAAATTCACTGTTAAATACATATGATCCTTCTTTAAAAATCATTCTTAAAAAAAATATTTCTATTTCTTTGTTACTTCAAGCATGATAAAAAATATTATAAATGAAAGGACTATATCTCTGCACAAAATCATCAGACCAGAACATAATTAGTGAATTTTCTAAGTTTAAGACTATAACTTTGCACAAAGTCAACTGATTGAATTAAAATTCAAACTTGATCTGTAACTTGTCATAAAACAATATACCAAATATCTAATCAAAATCTTTAAGCATGAAGAATAAGTGGGAAAAACTGATTTGCCAGATTGACGGATGTACAGGTTTATTTTGATCTTTTCTGTTAGCTACAAGTAAAGTTTTTGTATAAACACTTACATTGTCATACTCTTCTGCTGGCTGAACTTCAGCCACACTCCACGCAAATCGAGCACCTTTCTACCAAAAAAAAATTATCCTAGGTATTTTTTTTTAATTAAACTCACTGCAGTCATATTTGCTTAATTATTTTGATCTAACTGATATTATAGCATTAATATTTCTGTAACATTCAAACAATTAAACTAGATAATACCTTTTTCAAAAAGCTTAAATTGACAAATCTAAAAATTGATTAGTATATTACTTACTACCAATTTCGGATCTCTTTGCTGCAGATTTTGATTTTGGCATTTAATTTGTTAATATTTCATAACAATTAGACTAGGCAAACTTAAATAGCGGTGAAACAAAAGATTGAATTGACTAAAGGATAGTCAAGGGTTATCTTTAAAGCCCCTCTCTTCTACCTGCAATGGTTTTAAATCAAGTGAAGATAATAAATAATTCAATATCCTAAGTGATAGTTACAGTACAATTTTAGTTGTATTAACACTAACCCCAACATTGTCCCAACTTCTATACTCTGTCCGGTATGGAAATACAGTGACATCAGAGTTGCGTCTCTTCAATGTCATCTGTAATAGCACAAATTCTTTCCGTTCTGTTTCCGTCATGCCTGTAAAAATGTTATATACAGCAATATAATAAAAAACAAAAGATTGTTAATCAAGCTTAACCACTTCTTAAACAAGCGAAAGTGTGATCTAATGCTCACTGATGATACCCTTGCCCAAATACTTGAGGGTTAACAGGAAGGTGATGAATCTGAAAACGCATCACACGTTATAGTTGACATATATAAACCCTGAAACCAAATTTCAGAAATTCTTGTAATGTAGTTCCTTAGAAAATTGCAACAAAAAATATTCATGGGATGAAAGGACGGACGGATGGTCTGACAGACAAAGGTAAAACAGTATACCTTCAAAGAGGGGGTATAATTATCTTATTTTTACAAAGGCTTAGAAATACAAGCTGATTTTTACAGGCTTCAGTGATTCATTCTCCCTGGCTTCAGATTTGCGCCTTCATAGAACACAACTGGCTTAAATATGTTGACTATTTGCATAAACTAGGTGTACCTTGCAATAGCTGATAGTGTAAGAAGGTAGTGACATTTTTTGATTGCCTTGAATCAGTTAAACATTTGGCACATATAATTATATACTTTTACATGATATTATCATACAAATGTCACAACTAGATAATAGACAATGATTAAATGGATTCAGCTGTCTCTACATACATAAAGTTATGGCTTTAATTTTTACCTTCAACACTGGCTGGATACGACACAACTTTCGCTTTCCCAACAGGATAGCCTTGGTAATTAAGGCAGACTTCAGATCTAAAAAAAAGCCAAATGAATGATATTTGAATTTCCGACAATTTTTGATAAATAAATACTACATTGATTGTCTTGGTTTATCTTGCATGCTTAAAAGTATAAAATATTTACCATTTATTAACCTAATCACAACCTTGATTGAAATACATGGAGAATGTGTATGTCTCCACTTGTAAATATGCTTGAGTTAACATTTCAAATACAGATACAGAGTTCATATTCTTAGAACATTTTTTTTATTATAAGCATGGTGAATAAGTACATCAAATTTGGTTGAGGCAATATAAAGTTTGAGAATGGAGACGACAGGTTAAGCAAATTTTACATTTATAAAGGGGCATACCTCGAGAATGGTGAAAGTGATGCTCCTAAATATAAACTTGGTCATGTTTTTCTCTGACTGTTTATGACGTCTTTAAACTAAATTCATTGAATGTTGGATGTGTACGGATTGATAGTTTAGTCTTAGATGCATGATTTTTTTATTAGTTGTTAGTGGCTTTCAACTAGCTGTCAGATAACTGTGAGTACTCTCAGATCTGTTTCTAGTGTCTTTTTGTTGTCGGGATGTACAAGTACCCGGCCAAGTCCACTTGTATTTTTGTTCATCTGATGAGTGAAGCATTTTTCAACTGATTTTTATAGTTCGTTCTTATGTTCTACTGTTATAACACTGTCCCCGGTTAGGGGAGGGTTGGGATCCAGCTATCATGTTTAACCCCGCCACATTATTTATGTATGTGCCTGTCCCAAGTCAGTAGCCTGTAATTCAGTGGTTGTCGTTTGTTTATGTGTTACATATTTGTTTTTTGTTCAGTTTTTTTATATAAATAAGGCCGTTAGTTTTCTCGTTCAAATTGTTTTACATTGTCATATCGGGGCCTTTTATAGCCGACTATGCGGTATGGGCTTTGCTCATTGTTCAAGGCCGTACGGTGACCTATAGTTGTTAATGTCTGTGTCATTTTGGTCTCTTGTGGACAGTTGTCTCATTGGCAATCATACCACATCTTTTTTTATATTGATCTGTGTTATGTGATAATATGAATTTTGTTAAAGTTTCATAACATTTGGTTGAGGCAAACTAAATTTAGAGTATGGAAATTAAAAACTCACCATTATTTAAAGTGCATAAAGGGACACCACCCTTTTTTAAACTTGATCTGTATTGTTTGGTAATAAGCAGTGTATAAATTGTGTTCAGGCAAACTAAAGAAAGATAATGGGATGTATGGACGTACAGAAGAAAATGATAAAACTTAATGCCCCTCTGCTATGGCATAAAAATTCAGAAATGTTTGTGAAGAGGCCCAACTCATGAACGGTGACACCACCCCATTTCAATTTGATCTGTGTTTTGTGGTTATACGCATGGTATCTATGTCTTATAACAATTGGTTGAGGCCAATTCTACATAGGAAGCCAAAACAAAAAATTCAGCAATTTTAAAATTTAAAGGGGCTTAATTCATGAGTGGTATACTGACACCACCAAATATTAAAATTGATCTGTTTTTTTTTTTTTTGTGGAAATACACTTAGAGGATAAGTTCTTTAACAAACTGAGATTAGAGAATGGAAACAGAATTTGTGACAGACGGACAGATGAGGGTAACACTTAATACTCCTTGCACTTAGAGGTGGAGGCATTATAAAAATGCTCTGTAACCATTAAATTTTATAAAAACCCTAAATTTAAGCAAAGTATGTCAACACTTTATCATTTTTTGGATAGACACCCTTCTTTTTCATTGATTATTCTAAATAAAACTGAAAGTTACATGTAATACCTACCCACACTGCAAAAAGTTGGGTATACCAGCAGTCGTGTCAAATTCTAAATAGTCTGTAGGCATCCTGTTGCTCTGAGGTTTTGGTTTATTGTCACTAAAAAAAATAAATATGGTGAGCTAAGAACAATAAATGAACATCATCAAAGAACTATTGCTATTAAATATTAAAAACACTTAAACATGTATATTAAAATTCAGGTATTGCTCATTGCTGTTACTAGTTTTAAATTCTTGTCGTCTGCATGAAACATAAAAAGGTTTCAATTAATAGGTTATTGCACATAGTATTCTGTAACATTTAAATTTTTCTTCTGTTGAATTTTTTTTTTAAATCCAACCACCCCCCTTTCCACTACATTGACACCTAAAATGTCAACTTCATATTAACCTGAATCTAATATTTTTAAAGGCAAACACAACACTTACGGCACAGTCTCCTTGTGTAATCTGTAATTCATATTTTTCCTTAAGTGAATTCTAACGTGTCTTACTAAGGCAGGATCTCTGTTCAGATTTGGGATGTATTTCTTCAACTGAAAATAGACATACATGTAAATAATTCATAGTAGTTTCATTTCAATTTTGGATAAATTCTGATTTATAGGTATTGCCTATAACAATACATGTACAGTATTTAACTTTTACTTAACTCCTGACAGTGGATCAATTGCATTGATGGAAAAGAATAAATGGTAAAATTTAACAAAATGTCACCATTCATTGTTTTTTTTTTATAAATTAAAGAAATAGGAAATGAGTCCATGGGACAGATGATGCCCCCACTTGCAAAGCATATAAAGTTATAAAGGGACATAACTGACTTTCAATTTGTAAAACATAAAAGGGCATTACTCTACAACTGTTTAAAATGATACCACCAAAATTCAAACTTGTTCTGTTTTTTTGTGGTAATAAGTAATATATATAATTTTTATAACATTTGGTTGAGGCAAACTAAAGTTAAGAGAATGGAAATGAAAAAATTCAGCTGGGGACCGAAAAAAATAGTGAGCTGGAACAAGAAAATATGATGTGGATTCATATAACTTAGCATTGTTTAGTAACTATTCCAGTAGGAATCCACTCTGTTCATGAGTTTCAGAGAACAGTGTTATGAATTTATTTGTTGTACATATGATAAAGTATGATAGACAGAGTAAATGCTACATTTTCATAGAAATGTAGATTTTCTTCCAAATTTTGTTTAATATATTTCTTGAATTAAGATTATCTAAGGTCTTACAAAGTGTTGGCAATGAATTATCATTAAAAATCTTACCATTTCAAAGCATGTATTAAAAGCCTCTCCTTTGACTGTACGTAAGTCGCTATCTTCCACAACTTTCCTTATTGCATTCTGTAAAATAAATAAGGTTGTATTTAAATAAAGCAAAAGAAAACATCATTTTAGTACATATAAAAAGGAAATTTTCATTTTTACTAGCAGCAAGCATACAAGTTCAGTGACTCCATTTTTTAGATTTCATTTTTTTCCCTTAAAAATATATCATGAACAAATTTTGGCAATTATGAACATCTCGAACCCTTAAAAAAAACCTAAAAAATAGATCACTTTTTTTTTAAGAGCATAGTAAAATCTTCATTTTGGCAAAGTATATGAAAACTGTCACTTTTTTCTATACCCCTCAAGTTCAGTCTTTTCACAACAATAATAAATGATGTCAGGTGATCATATCAAAATGGAGTGCACATTTCATATACAAATATTATACTGTACTTACATTCAATTTGTTTTTCTCCAATCTTATTTTCTTTTTGGAATTTGGTGAGGCATCTTTCTCTATGGCAATTACAGAGGACATACACAATTCAGTTTGCTTTGTAAACATAAACTTTTGATGCTTTCTAATGGGTTCTTCGTCTGTTTGGGTATCCCGGTTAAAATCTAATGGCTGCAATGGGGAAAACTGTTGTATGGGATGCTGGTGAACAGGGTACCGGTGTGTAGGATACTGTCTCTGAGGCACTGGTGTCTGGTACCATTGGTTCTGGATAGGTGAATGATACCTCTGTCTTTCAATGTAATCCCTTTGACCATGGTAATACCTTTGTTGATCTATTGCATAAAAGCTGTCTTGTTGGTTATAATTAACTGGTCTTGGTCTTGGATTCACCAATGGGGGAAGTTGCTCTGAGGATAAAAAATAAAATAAATTTACTACATGTATAAGATTTAGAAATACTAATAGTAGTGTCCTTAGAAAAACTTGTTAATTGTTATGATGAGTTTGGATTTATTAGTCATTTGATGTCAACAAAATTAGGTTAAACATGTCAGAGACAACCCTGGTTCTAATCTGACAGAAATAGATTTATCGGAATTCAGAGAACACTAGCATTTTAACAAAACTGGGAATTCCCTCTGACATGTTTCTAAATTTATAAAAACACTAAATATAAATACTGCTCAATTCTGATTTTCTGTGCTGTTAAAAACACCCATATAAGTCGAGGGAAATACTGAAACATGAAGATTATGAGAAGAACATTATAGGACAGTTGTTTAAATTCAATCCCTTTGTTTGTTTTTACCTTTTAAAGCAAGACAATCTTAAGAATCTGAGATGTTCCTTAATATTTAAAATAAAATGGTTGACGTGAGGGCCTGGCCCTGAGTCAATGTTAAAAGTCTACAGATTGCTCAACAGCAATTGTGATCTCAAAAACACATTGGTAGCAACATACTTTGGAATCTAAATGGTTTATTTGTTATGTTAAATTATTCATTTCTGTCGAGCCTGCGACTTTTGTCGCAGAAAGCTCGATATAGGGATAGTGATCATGCGGCAGCGGCGTCAGCTAACTTCTTAAAAGCTTTATATTTTAGAAGCTAGAAGACCTGGATGCTTCATACTTTGAATATAGATGCCTCATGTTACAAAGTTTCCGTCTGTCATATGTCCATTGTCCTTGACCTCATTTTCATGGTTCAGTGACTACTTGAAAAAAAAGTCAATATTTTTTGTAATGTTAATTTCTTTCTTATTATGAGTAGTGGGATAACTATATTTAGTATGTGCGTACCTTGCAAGGTCCTCATGCCCGTCAGACAATTTTCATTTGACCTCAACCTTATTTCATGAATCAGTGAACAAGGTTAAGTTTTCGTGGTCAAGTCCATATATCAGATACTATAAGCAGTAGGTCTACTATATTTGGTATATGGAATGATTGTAAGGTGTACATTTCCAACTGGTAGGTGTCATCTGACCTTGACCTCATTTTCATGGTTCAGTGGTCAAAGTTAATTTGAGTTTTGGTCTTTTTTTCTAATACTATATGCAATAGGTCAACTATATTTGGTGTATGGAAATATTTTATGATGTACATGTCAGTCTCCTAGGTTTTATTTGACCTTGACCTCATTTTCACGGTTCATTTCTCAGTGTAAGTTTTTGTGTTTTGGTCTGTTTTTCTTCAACTATAAGCAATAGATCAACTATATTTGTTGTATGGAAGGATTGTAAGGTGTATATGTCTGTCTGGCAGGTATCATCTGACCTTGACCTCATTTTCATGGTTCATTGGTCAATGTTAAGTTTTCATGGTTAAGTTTGTTTCTTAGATACTATAAGCAATAGGTCAACTATATTTAATGCATACATTGATTGTAAGGTGTACATGTCTGTCTGGCATGGATCATCTGACCTTGACCTCATTTTCATGATTCATTGGTCAATGTTAAGTTTTCTTGGTTCAGACTGTTTTTTAGAAACTATAAGCAATATGTCAACTATGTTTGGTTTATATATAGAATGATTGTAAGGTGTACATGTATTTTTCGTTTGGTTTATCTGACCTTGACCTCATTTTCTTGGATCATGTTAAGTTAATGTGTTACTTGTAGTAAAGCTTTAAATTTAGGACTATCAACATAAAATCAATGGTTAGTAAAGAAGGCGAGACATTTCAGCGTGTGCACTCTTGTTTTTTACGACCATAATTTTTTTTGGATCGTATAATGATGTTGTCGTCTGCGTCGTCGTCTGAAAACACATTTGGTTTCCAGACAATGACTTTAGTATAAGTGAATGGACCCTATGAAATTTAATAAGAAGGTTCTATACCACAAAAGGAAGGTCGGGATAGATTTTTAGGATGATGGTCCCAATTGTTTAGAAACTAGGGGCCCCAAAAGGGGTCAAAGACAAGCATTTTTCTACTTTCAGGATAATAACTTGTATATAAGTGTTTCTATTGCTCTGAAATTGTACCACAGTGTTTAATACCACAAGTAGATCACAGCTATGCACATGAGTTTTGGTTTTATTCGAAAATTTGGAGAATGGGGAACAATTAAGTTTATAGCCTTAACAGATGCATGATAAATCAGTGACAAGTTGAATTTGTTTTAAAATAAATTTTTTTTACTGAACCTTAATTGAGTGGGAAGGGTGGGTGGGTTCATATTATTAATCATTATATAGAGAAACACTGGAACATATATTTACAAGGCCCATTTGGTAGCTAGGCAATTTCAAGTGTACACCTTAACCATTGTGAACCTCATTTTGTGGCCCACTGGTTCTAAGACGGATGTCCTCTGGGTTTGGATTTGCATGGGCAAAGCCTAACTAAGTTTTCAGGTTTTTGACAAAATTTATTAGTGTTTCCCCGAAGCATGGTTAGCATGGACAGATGTCATGCCCTTTTCTTGTCTTAATAAATGAAGCCATGACCTTCTTTTACTTCTTTAGATGACACCATTGTCTCTAAAATCCACTGAATGGAAGCTTTTTCAGAAATAACTTTTACTTTAAACTGGTAAAATGATATTTATGATTATTGGTATAATTGCATTTTAAGGGGATTTCTAATATTATTGTTGATTTGGCAATGAAGGAAACAGTGTTCCTCATTATCTTAAGTAATACACATTTTTCATAATGTGTGTTCTCTTTGCATTTACTTTTATCAACATGATCAACCTATTCCAATTTACAAGTCATGGTCACTTTAACTGAATTTTGTTGAAAGTTGTCCGCTCTAAAATAAAATTGAGATTGTGCAAGTAGTCTTTCAGTTAATATGTATAATATGTCCAAATTTAGAAGATGTTTACTTTTTTAAATTGCTTGCTTCGAGCAAACAATTCGTCGTTAGGTTTTCTGTATGCAGTGAACACACCTTGACCTTTGTCGTAAAAAATCTGCTGACCGCAAAACGCATGGGTTTGTCATTGAAATAACATATTTAGATCTTATAGTACATGTTAAACACATGCTTAATGTCCATGCTACTTTGTTGATTGTATAATAAGGCTTCAAGACATGACAATTAATCAGCTACCATATTTTCACATCATAACAGAATGAGAGAATTTGTTTTTAGAATTATACCATATGCATGCATAAAATATGATAAAAATGTGCACGGTACACAAGTTAATGATATACACTGCATTGGTTCCAGAATTGGATAAACATTACTTTTCATCAGTCACTCTATGGAATGATTTTTTTTAAATTCAACATATTCTTCTTCATCAATATTAAATTCTTTGAAACAGGTGCGTTTACAAAAGTCAGCCTACTAAATAACACATCTGTAGACATAGACAGTTAATTCTACAACAATATCATTTCTATTTGTTTTCAAGTGCACTATGAAAAAGGGTTGTCTGAACCTTGTGTCTTGTTGTCCCGGACAATAGAACAACCCTTAATGTCAGTCCCTGATGCATGTAATACTTGTCACTGGATCACATAGCCTAAACAAATCAATTTTTTACTCTTTCTATATTTCAAGTCATCTCATATTGACAATCATTACAATAACTTTTTTTAACAAGAACTCTAATAGTGTATTCCATATAATCAATGATAACATTTTATATTTAATTGAATTTTTGAAAGCGATTAAAAAAAATAAGATTTTAAACTCCAGAAATATTTCACAAATTAACATCTGCAGGTTATTGTATCTATAAGTATATCTATGTTTTTTAAAGTGTCTCATAAGAAAGTGTCTTCATAAGAATCAGTGGCAGATCCAGAAATTTTCCTAAGTTGGGGCCCACTGACTGCCTAAGAGGGGACCTGCTCTTGTCATGCTTCAGTGATTCTCTATATAACCAACCAAATTTTTCCCACAAAAAGGGGGGGGCCTCTAAATCCACCTCTGAAAATAATTCAATTGTTTGGCTGGGCATTGATTGAATTTAAAAGATATTACTTAAATTTGAACTATATGTACTGTAGCAATCAATGCAGACTCTCACATAAAATATATTTACATGTAAATCTTATCTATTACAATGTACTGTTTTAATATTTGATTATTAAATTAGATATAAAATTTAATACAGTAATTACAGAAGCACTTTAATCTATATAATAAAGATTGACCTGAATAACTTAGTTTAGAAAAGGGTATTAGTAGTTGCTTGTGTAGTCTACTTCTTGTGGTTCTTATGAATAATTTTAAAAATTACTTCAAATTTGTTCCCTGCTCCGTACATAAATTTATATTAGAATTAACAGTTTGTGTGTATAATTTTGCTCTTGATTTATGACATATGTGCCAATGTGGGCTATTTTACTTCAGTATGTCTTTTAAACCTCAATACTATAGTATATATTTTTTAAAATTCACTTAATTTATAAGAAAGAAGACTAACCAGCCAATTAAATATGTTGGATTGTTCCATGGACTCTCCAATAATTAAAATTGCATTTGAAGCTTACACGCAATAAAAATTATCGTCTGCTATATATTTTTGTTTCCCTTCACTTCTCACAGTACAGTGCTTTGTCAATTAATCTTGTCATAAGTCGTATCACCTAACATAAATGCAAAGATACAACTTCACGGAAATAATTATGGCAAAAAAGTATCACAGAAGTTTGCTTAAATGTAATAGTAGTATACAACCATCAGAATTATTCTTTTCTGCAACGAATCTGTTCGCCCATGTGTTCTGGTGATCGTTTCCGGTAATGCTAAGATTTGATTGGTCAAGATATTAAAGAATTTATATTAATGGAAACGAAGTCGGTTATTTCCCGGCAATTTAGAAATGTAGGAAATACAATTTTTTTAAAATCATAACCCGATATGTAGGAAAATAATAAAAACTAGCGACAAATGATATTGTTTTATATGTCTGTGATGAAACCTATCAAAAACACAACTATTTCTTAACACGGATGTTTAGTTTTAAAGTGAAAGGATACGAATATGAATTTTATTTAACTTATGATAAGATAAGGCAAGATAAGATATTCTATTGATTTTTACCAAGACAATAAAAATTGGTTTTACATAAACATACAAATTGAAACATTTATAAACATTGTTGCGCTGAATTTTAGACGAATCATATATGTCATTTTAATGTAATATTATTTCAGACCAAAAATTACTAAGAGAGAAAACACAATATGCTTGAAATGCAATCAAATAGAGGATGAAGAACAATTCTTTATTCATTGCAAATAAAAATGAAAATTATAGAAAACAGCTATTTAATAAAGTAAAAGTCAATTCACAAGAAAAAAAATGTGCCCTGAAAAAGTAACGAAAATCATTTAATATTAATAGTTTACTTAACCCACAAAATACTGATGATACAAAAAATATATGCCATTTAGCATACAATTATGCTTTGAATCTTTGTACTTTTATTCATTTAACCTTGATTTGATATTTTGTCATACATAATATATGTTTATTTATCTGATGTAATATCATGTTAATGTGGGGGAAGACATCATTATATGTGAATCCAGGTGGAGTGTGGAATTTTTTTGGGAGATGTGGGAAGTGGGGGGGGGGGGGGGGGGGGCTGGTAAGGGCTCCATCATGAAAATTTTCTGGTAAAAATGTGGCTGAATCTCATGTTGTATAGATCTATAAGTATCAAAGACAATCTGAAAGTTGTTATATACAATAAAACTATACTTCACTAATTGTAAATTATAACTATAGTATTGTTAATACAAATATTAGTAATTTTGACCGATGAGGCTTTATAAAATATAAACATAAATTAAAACAACAGTAAGAATTGAATTGTTATTTCTTGGCTAATTTTTTTGAATTATTTTTCACATACTATAAACCAGACAGATAATAAATAGATTCATATGTCTCTGTATAATTTTGTTCAGATGACAATAACAACAAGATATACTTAACAAATTATCTAACATAAATATTGAAAATAGGGGACCTGTATTTTTTATTTTAAAGATTCTTCACTTTAGTCTATGAAAACAGGGGGAAAATTGAATTCTAATTTTAACCTTGTAAATAAATTCCCCATTAGAAATAGTCCACATATTTTTTTAGGCTGTTCAATGGAACTAAATGAATATATGTCTTTCCCTCATGGTTTAAAATATTCAAACTTATAATTTATTCCTTTTTTAATTAACCAAGAAATATTATGTATAATTTTAGAAATTATCATTTACTAAGTAAACAATATTTAACTTATTTTTACCTCAGTTCAACTACATTGTTAGTATTTAAGAATAACTATACTAGCAAGAAAAATGTAACATTTTACCTTGTATGTTGTTATTTGCTGGACTTGACTGGAACGAACTGTGGTCATTTTCAGATGAATCATATGAATCACTTTCTGACATATTCATATATTCTGGAAACATGGAGGCACCAATGAGTTCTGCTGAATTCATATTGCAAGAATGTTTGAGTACTAAACTAGGTGGTTTTCTGAAGACTGTGACTAGTTTTTTTTTTAGTTGCTTTAAATACTTCATTTCATTCATATCCTCCTCCTCATTTTTCAAGCTATTTCATTGGTTAATTAAAAGTTGCAGATTGCTAATTACCTTTTGATTGGCTAATTAAATTTTCCCACAGTTTCAACTGAGTCCTTCAGGCACTTATCACCTGTACAAGATAACTTGAGTATTTACCTAAACTGGAATACACAGCAAGTTATAAAGCAGTAGGGGTCTGGTCACATCAAAGATGTAGGGGACACCTTTATTGCAGACTCCTTTGAACTTTATTGTTTTGTTTATAATGCAATATTCCTTTTCTAAATTCAGTTCAATTTTTATTACAGGTCTTAAAAATCAAAGAGTTTAGACTTTTTAAAAAATACTCTGTATATTAAAAATAAGTAATTCATAAGAACTTAAGTAGTAAATTAATGCACTAAAATTGTTTAAATATTTAAAAAGAAAATGAATAAAATGCATCAAAATTCCAAAAATAAATGAATAAAATGCATCAAAATTCCAAAAATAAATGAATAAAATGCATCAAAATTCCAAAAATAAATAAATATTGTTAAAAAAAAAGTATTCTATAATATGAATAAATTTTGTTATACCAATACAATGCATATAGGATTGCAATAATATAATAATTATTATACATGTGCATTTATTTTTATGTAAAAGCTAATAAGATGTCAGGCAAATTATTTCAACTTAAAATTATTTTTAATAGTGGAAAATTGCATAATTTCTTGTGCTTGAAATTTTTTATAAATTCAATGTTTATTCTGTATTTTAATTTCTGTGCGGTCACAACACTTTCTATTACAAATCAAATGCATATTTTCAATAAAATGTACTGTGCCGCACAACATTATCTATACTAAATACTTATTAATAGAGGAGAATCTGTTTTTTTTGCTTCATGGTTTGAACACCTGTTTTTAATTTATTGCAGGATCATCCAATAACACCATTTGGACACCTGATTCACAATAAGGATGACTCGCGTAGAAAACCACTGCATGTTGCCACAGACATTACACAGATCACATTCATGGCTGTTATATTGAAAGTAAGAATAGTCTATTTTAAGCAACATAGAAAAAAAGTTGATTTAATTTTCTGTATGATGGAATTAATATGTTATATCTTTTGTCACTTGTTTATATTTATTTCAAGTGTGATTAAATTTTCTAATTTGTATTAACATCTACATAAAATAATGGACAACAACCCAGCAACAATTCAATGCTACAGATCTGATTCTTTAGCATACATTATCTTTTACTAGTATCATCATGGATGATCTGATTTACACATAGAATTTAAAAATATTTTGACTTATTAGTTAAGTAGCATATATACCATCATAACACATTAAAACTGATATATTATGTCAACGAACCAGATATATCTCTCAAACAAGTTCTCAATTGTTTTGTTCTTTAAACATGAATAATGAGTTATTAATAACAATATAATCAATAAATAGGCAGAATTTTCCATGTTTAAGCACCCCTCTTCAGAGCACCAAAGAGTTTAAGAGTACCTTGGCATTTTTTTCATGATCAATATAGCTTATTTGTAACATTTTATTATTATAGTTGAAGTGCAAGTATTCCATCAGTGTGGAGGATGTGAATGAGTTACTTCTGCTGTTTCAGAAAGTTGTCCCTTCAGAAAACATCCTACCAAAGAATATCACTGAAATGTAAGTAACTAAAACAGTAATGATATACATAGGCAGATCCAGGGGCCTGGGCTCCCCTTTTTGCGGTAAATTTGGATGATTATAAAAAAAAATCTCTGAAGAATGACTGAGCCCCCCCCCCCCCTTTTTATGAAATATGTATATATAAGGAATGCCCCTTTTGATGGAAAGTTAAGGCCTTGTAATATTTCCTTGATACTTTGAAACATAATTTCCAAATAAAAGGGGCCAAATGATCAATTTGTGAATAAATTAGTAGTCCGTGGGCCCTGGTTAAATACCGTTTTTTTTATCTTCCCAAGGAGGTTATATGCCACAGTGATATAGTAACTGTTACAATCAAGGATAAATATTTTTTCACAAATACGTGCAAGTTGGAATAGTACAATTTTAATCATTGTACAATTGCTAACACTCAAACGCATTTAGTACTAGTACAAGGCCGGGCCTGGAATGTTTTATTACGGTACCTTCCGATCAAAATCCCTGCTACCCCACCAAAAATCATCGGCCTAGTGGAGATAGCACCGTGTGGAAGACCGTTCTTTGACCTATACCATGTCTATATTGGTTTGCTCTTCCAAATTGTGACTTGGATGGAGGTTTGTCTCATTGGCACTCATACCACATCTTCTTAAATTCTATTTAAAATATATTTTATTTCCTTTAAAGAATTAATTATAGCGAAGTATCTAAAAAAATTGAAAACAACACGTTTAATAATTTCTTGCGTCTGAAGCGCTTTTCTGGATTTACCTTCATCAGGAACGCCCAAAGCCAAACATTTGAAATCCGAAGATAGATAAGTACCGAAAATCGTTGAAGAGCTATATGTCAAAAATACCTAAAATAAATAGCCAAATTCATCTGAAGCCAACTTTGCCTGAGGGAGTTGAAACCTTAGTTTAATAATAATTTCAAAATTTATTAACAGACAATTTTAGTAAAGCTTGTTAAATCATGTCAGTACCGAAGTACCGAAGCACTGACTACTATTTCTAACATTTGAAATAAAAAAAATAAAATAGAAACACTAAACACTTTACATAGGGTGCATATAACTTACAGACTTAAGATGGTCAGTCAGAAAAAAAGGGAAAACATTTTTTGGTTTAAAGCACAACACGTGTCTCTATGGTAATTCATTTAATTTAGTTTGACACATATTGAATTTAAATTGGAAATACCAAACAAAATTTAGTTCTCATTGTAAACTGTCGTAAAAAAAACAAACGATAATTTAGATGTTAAATATCGGGGGTCTTTAAATGTGGATACCGTCGGGATAAATGGTTTTAGAAAAGACAATAAGATACCGCCTTTCATAGTAATTTATCATTCAAGTGTTCATTTTTTATTTTGCAGTGATCGTCTCACAAGGGACCTACTGGTCCAACATGAGGAACACACCATCTGTGCATGTGAGGAGTATCGTTTCGGCCAAGACCGCCAAAACTGTGAAGTTTGCAACCAAGATAGATCAATGGGAACAAAGTAAGTTTATTAGGTCACGCTACTTTTCATACTTTAGAATTATAATTTGATTTTTGCCACAGAGAAATTTTAAATATTTTTTTTAGAGATGATTTAATATTTTGTTTGCATGTTTATTATTAATTATTATGCAACTGGGTTTCATTTTGTATTTTAGAATTGAATGCTTCTTTTTGTAACTTCATTAGGGTGTATTAAAGCGTTGACTAAAGTACATTTTGTATGAAGCGCGGAAGCGCGTCATTCTAAAAATGTGCGCACGGTCAACGCTTTTACAACCCTACGAAGTTACAAAAAGAAGCACTCAATACTTATAATTACATTTGTTAGCTAGGATCATGAAAACACGATTTTTATCTAGTAATTATTTAATTCACTTTTGCTCTTTATTGTGGGACCTCGTGTCATCATGAATGATAAATTTTATTGTGTAATGCAATTGCTTAAGGAATAACGCGAGATGTGCAGTTAGCCAATCAGAATACCGTATTATAATGAAACATACATCTAATGTAATTATATATATATGTATACATGTAAATAATAAATCTTTTTGGGGTGTTATTGCCTTTCACACTTTGCTACGCCGGTGGATTTTTCTGGTGGCTTTGTTTGATTATTTATTTCCGTAGCCTGTCTTAACATCTAAGACCTGTGTTGTCCACATTTGTATGGAGGACAAATATAAAGAAAAAAAAACCAAAGAAGACTGAGATGTGGTATAATTGCCAATGAGACAACTCTTCACAAGTGACAAATGACACAGAAATTAACAGCTACAGGTCACCGTATGGCCTTCTCCAAATGATCAAAGACCATACTGTCTAGTCAGCTATAAAAAGGCCTTTATATCACAAATGTAAAATTTACTAAAACAATTCAAACGAGAAAACCAACAGCCTAATTAAATAATGAAAAAAGAATTAACGAAAAAGAAATATGTATCACAGCAACAAACAACAACCACTGAATTACAAGTTTCCTGACTTGGGACAGGCACATACACACATAATGTGGCATGGTTAAATATATAAGTGCCCCCCCACCCCCACCCCACCCCCTAAACTCGGAACAGTCGCATAAGACAGTTCATTATTTGTCTGTCATTGGATAATTTTCTTTTCTTTTAGTTATTGGAAGGCTTAGTTTTTAATTTTCAAATTCATCCTAGGCCCCCATCAGAATGCTTATTTCGAATATATATTGATCACTAAAAATTTTATTTTTTTATTTTAAAAGATTTTTAGAAATGCTGTTAGGCAAAATTTTAATGTGTGACATATACATGTCATTCAACGATTTATGTTAGCAAAATACTATTGTTATTTTAAATATTTGTTAGGTACTACACAATACCAATTGGTCCAAGACTCCAGCAGCTCCGAGAGGTGAAATCGTTGGCCAGACTGACAGCCTTGATGGATTGCATTCCAGGAAAAGCACGATTCATATCAGACCTGCACGACACATCTAGTTGGTCAACTTTCAGCAAGGAGATGGGGAAGAATGCCATAGCCCTTTCTTACTGTTCAGACGGATTTAACCCCTTCCATCACATCATCAGTCAAGGGTCGTATAGCATTTGGGCACAGTCTAGTCTGATCCTGAATCTACCACATCAACTGAGGTCAAAGACTGGTACCACTCTTCTACTTGGATTGATTTCGGGTAATAAATTAAACCATATTAATTGATAGCACTTATTGATATATAGCTATAGAGTACGAAATAATCTTACTTAATAATAATTACATAGAATAGATAAAAATGGCTTAAACACTTTTAGAAAATAGACCCAACTACGGGCAGCTTACATGTGGACTTTGCAAAAGTAAAAATGATTGTTGAAAAATGAAAAGGGGGGGGGGGGGGGTTATCCCAGAACTGTGCATCCGACAAGCGCCTGAGATCGCAACTTGCAAGTATTTTATTCATAAAAAATATTGGATCGGCCCTAAATTTTCGTGTTTGATAAACTTTATTAAACTTGTGCATTGGCGGATGATATATTCTTTCTTGTAGTTACTTGTGTTGTTCCGTACTGCATAGCGTTAATACATGTACATGTATATATACCGTTATTTATAGGACTGTCTTTGATAATCGTAGTAGGATATGAATTATGATTGTTCTGGTTAGTTTTTGAACAGTGGATAGTCTGGATTCCAAAACAAATATTTTATAGTTCAGTGTCCCACAGGATCCAATGATGAAGTCAGCATGCACGAGTATGTGTAAAAGTTATGTTAAATTTTTTTTTTTTTTTTTTTTATTATTAGTGTATATGAACTTTTTCTCTGTAGGACCACGGGCTCCTAAGAAGTTGAATAAGTATAATGAGGTCATCGTAAACGAATTGGTTCAACTTAAAGAGGGATTAGCAACCTACAATGCTGACAGCAAACAACGAGAGGTGGTCAAAGTGGGACTTCTTTTCATGGTTGGTGATGTACCTGGCATGGCGAAAGAGCAGAATAGAGTCCAGCAAAATGCTAAAACATCCTGCAGCCATTGTACAGTTACTGGTAATTATTTCTTAAACCTTCTTTATTTGTATTTAGCCAGGCTGTTTCCTCTGGGTGAATTTAATACTTAGTTGTTGCTAGGATTCTGTTACCCCTCCCTTTTCATAGAATTATATTGCATAGACAAAAACAGTTCCATTTCGCATATATATATAACATAAGGCAGGACCTTTTTCAGAAGCATCGGATATCAGGTGATTTAAGTTCGGTATTTCGGGATTGATCATTTTGGGATCCTGGAATTTTTTTTTCGAATTTCAGGATGTTGGGATTTAAATTTCTTTACATTTGGGACCTCAGGATTTCGGCATCAGGACCCCTCCCCCTCTTTATTACCTTAAGGGTGATCACAAGAAGTAACATATTGTTCGAGCAAAAATACTTTCATGCATTTATTTTGATCACACGATGATGTAAGGCACATGACAGAATCCACTAACTCTACCGTATTCCTAAATTGCGTATAGGGGGTCGGGATTTCAATGAGTGCAAGAACAAAGACTATGTTAGGAGTGAAAAATAAAAATTTAGGAATGTCACTGCTCATTGAATAATCACATTCCACATCAAGATGTTCTGATAAAGAGTTATTCTTCTTCTTCACAGGTATCCATAGCAGTATCTTAGACAAGACTATTTATCCTGGTGGTCGCCGCTTTTTAGATATAAACCATCCTCTTCGCCAAGATACCACATTTCCGTCAGGGGCCATTGAAGATGAAGTTGTCATCAAAAGAAGTACTGAAGATGAGAAAGCTGAGGCCAGATATTTAGATAGATTACTACTGGAAAAAAGACAGCAAGGGTAAGAACATTTATTTATAAAGGGGGGGTAGGACCTTTATCGGGACTTCGGGATCAGGTGTTTTTAAAGCTCAGGATTTCGGGATTGACCCTTTAAGGATCAGGGAATTATTTTCTCGAATTTCAGGATATCAAATTTATTTAAATTTCGGGACCTCCGGATTTCATGTTTTTAAGCCCATGATATGGGGATCAAGATCCCCCTCCCCCTCATTTATGTAATTCTTATAGTCAGAATGGCAAAGGGGAAAAGAGTCAATTACCAGTGGTCAATTCAAAGATCTCTTTTTTTCTGAATTCCAGTGACATTTAAAGTTGGAATAAAGTTTGTTTACTGCTAGTCGGTATTTGGTTCTAGACAATATGCTATTAACTACAGAAGCATTCACACTTAATACAATAAATTTATATTTTTGGTATACAATTTTGTTTTTCCAATGTTTCTTTAAATGTAAAACTTTCGCGACCATTGTACATTGATAAGTAAAAACCAGCTTTATGGCACATGCTTTCAACTATAAATTGCATAATATAAGGATCAAAATTTACATTTACATAATTAAAACGTGGCTTGGTTAACTTTTGTTTAATGAAATCATTGTGTAAAATAGTATGATTAAATATTATTTCGTTCCAAGACTGTGCTTGCTATTCTTTTATTTTGTGTAAACTCCCAAGTGGATGCATTTTATTCAGCCTAATATTTTTATTTCAAAATTAAAATCAGCATTTCTATAAATGCGTACTGAAACATAAAGCAACCAAACATCAGTTTAAGCCATCTCAACCAGATAATGAAGAGTTATCAATGAGTTCAATAATGATCATTACATTTATACATGTAACACTTGTGAGCTCAACAGTTCAATGATTAAATTGAGATGTGCTGGACAATGTTCAGAAGTATTAAAAGCAGAAATATAAATAGTATGATATAAAGATGTTTTCTTTTTTTATAGGAAAAGTACAGATACCTTAGCATCAGCTTTTGCACAACAGACTGGTCGCTATGGCAGTAATCATTGGTTCCGGTTAGGCTTAGATATGCAACAGAAGCATGCACCAGTAGAACCAATGCATGCTATTAAGGTATTAAGCTTTTGCTTACTATTTAAGTTTTCTCTTTATTGCTGATGCTTTAATTTCATGAGAAATTAGTTGTAACTAGATTTAAGCTAAAACAAAATAATTTAGGGAAATTGAAATAGGCACTGTTGAGATATAGTCACTTTTATATTGTTATTTGTATGATCCTGCTACACACGGACGGACGTCTACAAAATTGGTTTCCATTCTCTAAGTTTTGTTGCCTCAAACATATATGATGAAATCCAAAACATTAATTAAGTCTTAAATGAATTGATACTACTTATACCGACTTGAGTTATGCCCCTATCTCATTTATGTTCTCCAGCTTTAGTTTGTCCCAACTCAATGTATTGAAACTTAAACACAATGCTTATTATTTCAAACATAGATCTAGTTCATATTTTGGTGTTGTCAATTTTACTGTTCACGAGTTATTCTGTAACATATGCAAGCAGGGGCATACATGTTGCATGGACACATTCATGATTATTAAAAGCTTGGGTTTTCAATTTGATCAACTAAAAACTCAATGAAGAGAGTTGTAATTCAAGTGAAGTGATTTGACATGATATTAATCAGCTTTAAATCAATTAGTAATATGAACTTTTTATCAATCAGGTTGTGGCTGAGCACACAATAAAGCTGCTAAATGGGGATGAAGATGGGGCCAAAGTCAGAGCAGCAGAGAGAGACAGCGGACGTAATGTGGACTTATGTCCTGATGCAGTCTACAGAATTTATGTGAAAGAGGTATTTATACATGTATTTAGTCAATGTTAACTTAAAATGACATGGAGTCTCAAATTTTCAAGCATTCAAAGATAATGGTCACGCAAAGAAAATAGCTGGCTTATGAATTTGTAAAGCCTAAGTGCTAGGTTTATATTCAAATCTTATAATCAATATGTTTATTATATGAGGGTAGTAATGTCATTTATCGTCGGGCGTCAACTGGTCTTTTTCGTTAACCGTTGGCGTCAAATTATTTAAAATTGTACCATGATTCTTCAAAAGATCCTTATCATGATTTGTCAGAGGTTTCAAATAATTATCGCTATTGTCATTTTTGGAAAATCTTTAAAGTTATTCGTCAAAATCAGTTGATTTTCTTATTGTCTAAAAGAAAATGTACATTTTATCACCATGCACCAAAACTAACTGTGAATCTCATTTGGCAATAATTTGTACCGTTATTCGTCATGAAGGTACCCCCATTACACCCTCAAATATCATTTGATGTTCAAGATTGATATACATTAGTTGTATCATTCTATACTAATGATCAGTCTCTGGTTGACCCATTGTCTTTGTTATTTTTGGCAGAATTAAATGTTTATGTCTATAAATGAATAAAAAATATCTTGTTGTTCCACTTACTTAAGCTTATTTTGCATATTTTGTATCTTCAGAAAAAGACCTTAGGACAGAAGAGAAAAAAGAATGCAGAAGAGAGTAGCATTTTGCAGACCAAGTAAGTATTTTATATATTTGTATCTCTGACCATACTTTTGGTCCTTTTTTAATTGATTTGCTTTCAACATTTGTATAAGTGTTATAATTTTTGAACATTTTTGCCAGAGAATTACACAAGATATTTTTGTGCGATGCACACTTCCAGTGTGATTAAGTTTGTACCTTTAATGTTATGTATAGAATATTTGAAGAAGATGAAAAAATTGTTTAAGTTTATAATGACATTGTTGAGGGCTGTACAGTGATAGTGTATGCTTAAATCAACATTTAGATGGCAATTATATTAAATTTGAATCATGGATTATTATGAATATATGTAATACTATTCAGTACCATAAAAATCTTAATTGAGGTCTTTCTGTTTCATAAAGGTATCCAAAAACTGAGCTTCCACAAGCCCCTTATGTGCTTACTGCAGAGGAAAAGAAAGAAGCAGACAGACGACTTTCTGATATCAAAGTTCCTGTTAACTTTGGTATCATACCTGCAACCCTCTTCCAGAAGATTGTAGGTGGAACCAAATGCCACACTTGGCTACAGGTAATTACTTAAATGAAACTTACAAAGTTATAGTTTGATTGCGAATGATACAACTCTCCCTGGCCCCTCTTTTGTGGGAAAATTTGGTTGATTATATAGGAAATCACTGAAGCATGACTGGAGCAAAGGCCCCCTCCCCCTTTTTTTCAAAAAGTTCTGGATTCGCCACTGGTAAATCTTAGTTGCTTGTATTACCTTAACCTAAATCCAAACCCTCCCTCTAAATTGATGCATAAAGGTCAAGAGGTCACAATTATGACCTTGATTATATATATATATATGATATACAGTAGTAGATAGGATTACCAAGTGGGCATAATCGTTGAAAGAATGAAACCTGTTCACATGCAATTAATGAAATAAAAAAAAGTACTATTGGTGAACCTAGATATTATATTGTACCATAATTTGTTTAGGAGGATAGTAAAGAACAGTTGAATGGGTAAAGTTTTTTCAGCCGTATAAGTATAAACTTTATGCAATTTGTTGATTGTCATGCATTTTGAATGTTGTTTCGATTTTGACCTTTTTTAAAATTATTTTTCAGCTTTTTTCCAGTGGTATCATTCGATTTTGCACAAGAGGAATGCTTGGTGACCCTCAGAGAAAGTCATTGGTGAACTTCCTTTTGTTGTTGGAGGAAGCCTATGGTACATCATTCGACATGACTCTCATAGACAGTTTTCAACAGAGATGGCACGAGGCATTGTGTATGGTTGAGAGAGATTTCCCAGCTTCCTTACAGGTAACATATTTTATATATTAATAATTGTTTTATAAGTTGTTAAATGAGTATTTTCTTTTCTTTGAATTCATTTTTGTGTTAATTATTGTCAATGATGAAAAGGATTTACACCTTCAACTTTTTTCGGTAATTACGTCATGTCTTTCAGTTGAAATATGTTGCCTTCAACAATCAGTTTTAAACTTCATCACACTTTTCTTATATTAAAGAATTGAAATACACCATCGATATCTAGACAGTGAAAAGAATGATACACTATTTATATTTTGCTTGGTTCTATATTTTTTAGCTTGTCTTCAGGAATTTAAGTTTTAAAAATAATAACAGAGTGAGGTTAAAAATTGAAAAATAGAATCTATTTCTGCTACCATCTAAACAAGTGAAAATGTTTACTGAAAAAGGTATTTACTCAGTTCTTCTAAAGTGGTATACCTTCAAGTGAAATGATTTATAACTAAGATTCTTGAATTTAAATATGTTCATTATAATATATTGTTCATAATACATGATGAATCTATTTTTTATTTCAGACATTTTACTTCCACTTATTTCATCACCTGCCCCAGTACATCAGATTGTATGGACCACCACGTAATTTTTGGATGTTCCCCTACGAGCGCTACAATCATACCCTAACAGAGGCAGTGTCCAATAACCAGTATCCAGAGTTGTCAGCTATAAAGAAAGTTGAGGTAATTAAGCTCAGGATTTCGGTATTGATCCTTTCTAGATTTGGGAAATCTTTTTTCAAATTTCGGGATGTCTAGATTTGAATTTCTCTAAATATGGGACCTCAGGATTTTATGTTTTTAAGCCCAAAATTTTGGGATCAGGATCCCTTTGACACCCCCCCCCCCCCCCCCCCCCCCCCCTCTCCCTTAATGGTCATTGATGTGTATCACAAACACAGAGCAACAACCCATATTGAATTATAAGTTGAAAAGTTCCAAAATTAAAGTTTTTCAATTGATATGAGCCCAGTTTATGTATATTGGACAGAAAAATGATAACAAGGGTGAACAAGAAGATTTAATTCAAGAATAAGAGTTTAAGATGAATGTTTTTAATTTTAAGGGCAAAGTGTTTTTTTTCACTAGCTATCAACAGTTAATGTGTGCCATTATTACAAAAAATACTTTTCATAGAATTGTTAATTAATATTCCTGTATTGCTTTTTTCTAGGTACAGTGGTTAATTACGTTGTTGGACAGTGCTGGCTTTTTCCACCCCATTAAGGTAGAGGCACAAGAAATTCTAAAACAACTTTCAGCAGGACGACACAAGCCAGTGAAAAGGGATTTGTCCGATGAAGAGATGGTGCACATGAAGGAGTTTTATCAAACAGACAATGTTATACCACATATTACAATTTTCCATCATGCCACTACCAAAAAGGGATCCTATAGAGACACTTTCATAGAGAAGGCTGACCAAAGGGAGAAGTGTTCCATGGTGCTCTTCGACAATTGTGTTGGCAGTATTGAGTTCTTTTTTTCGCACAACAACAATGAGCTGGCTTGGCTAAAATGGATTGGGTTTATACAACAAGATGAGGAGTCCAAGTGTTTTTTAGTGATCCCTAGTGACAACCTGTTGTGTCCAGTTGTAAAACTTGCAAACTTATCTCCGCCATTAATTCATTGCATGGACCAAGGACAATTGTGGATACCAAAACTGCCTGTGTAGTAAAATATTTATAAGACAGATGTGACAATGTAAATTTCTTTTCCAATGTACAATATATTTATATCAATACACTAGTATAATGTTTAAACCTTTTTGCCTTAAAATGTACATACATGTTCCAAAAAAATTTTTGGCAATCATTTCAATTTTTCAATTTTGATTTTTCAATTTTTTGGGGGGGGGTATATTTCTGAATTAAGTATGACGTCCATTATCACTGAACTAGTATACATATTTGTTAAATGGCCAGCTGAAGCGGATACAGGATTATCTCATTGTATTGAAGCCCCATTGGTGGCCTTCATCTGTTTTCTGCTCTTTGGTCGGGTAGTTGTCTCTGACACATTTTCATTCTCAATTTTTTCAGTTGTATGTTTTTTTAATTTGTCTTTGTAAAATAAACTAAAGTCTCAGCTTGATGTTCTGTACATAATATTACAGCAAGCAGAATCTTTGTTTCTTGTTGTCATGTCCAAAATACTATAGTAGAGAAGCATGTTAATACTGTGATTTGTCTGACATATATATGAACAAGATAAACAAAAAATGTCAATATTAATTTTTAGAACCATCAGCTTAAAATTAGGTCATGTTTTCCCTTCATCTTGTGAATATGTATATATTTATAAAATTTTTTATATTTTGTACATAAATTAGGCTGAAAATTTTTCCTTAATTGTTTTACATTTTTCATTTTTTGGCCTTTTAGAGTATGGGCTTTGCTCATTGTTGAAGGCTGTACGATGACCTATAGTTGTTAATTTTTATGTCATTTGGTCTCTTTTTGAGAGTTGTCTCATCTTTTTTATATTGTAACTTATCTAGTCTGGACAGATGGAGGACAATTCAATTTCCTGTTGCATTTCATGATGCTGCGGGTTGCTAAAAACTTCATTTTGGGCAGAGAGATTTATGTTTTACATAGGCCAGTTTAAGTTATCTCTTCATTTAAAGGAGTTGTATATAATTGGGAAATATATTGAAACTGAATTGTATATATTGATATTAAAATAACATTGTAAATAAAATATGAAAAAAAAAAACGTATTTGATTTTCTATGATGATTTTGTCTTATTTGGTTAAAAGGAAATTTCTTTTCGATCTACCTGATTTAAACGCAACTTTGTGTATGGTTTAGAAAATACATGAGCATGTGAAGCAGGATAAAATGTGTTATACATCAGTCAGAACTGAACAATACAACACAACATAAAACAAAATAAATGTAACCCCGTAATCAGTCTATCCAATAACCAAAAAGCAAGGTGATCCCTAGCCTTTTCACTTTCCGGTTCTGGCATATAATTATTTCCACTTTTAATAATATTGTATTTCAATATCTAAGCCTTCCTTAATGCATTAATCTCAGTTTATTATCATTTCCTCTTTTTTTACCATGTTCCGTACTTCACTGACTAGCCCCTTTACGACCTTACGTGAAGTATTTCACGTTCCACTAGACCTCAAGAGAGCTAATTAATTGAAAACAGACTCGGCAAAAACTATGCTGAATGAAAAGGCAACCATAAAATTCCAATATATTATATAGTATAATAGTATTTTTAATTAATAACTGGACTTGTACTGTACATTAGACGGGACTGACCTGTCACCACGCCTGTCACTCGTATATATACGATGATCTGTGAATGAGTTCTTTACCTGAAATGTTCTTGTCTTTATTCGGACACCAATTTTGTACATGGAGTGGGTTTTTTTTTAGAATGACAGAAAAATATTCAATAATTTCATTTATTTTCGAATAAAAATATATAAGATCTTGTTTATTTACCAATTGATGCCCGCAGTCGTATTTTTTAAAAATAAATCGCTCAATCGGCTGATAATCGGTACACCAAAAAGGATAATGTATGGTCAGTAATTGTTCACAGGGGCGGATCCAGGACCTCGTTGTCTGGGGGGCACCATGAAACCAAAATTTATATTTTTTTTAGAGATGTATATATGCTGAGACTACTGTTATAGTAGTCTCAGATATATGCGACTGTGAGTGGGGGTTATTTTTTTGCGGGGGGAGGGGGTTCAGATCATCTTTTCTATATTTCTATATCTTTTATTTTTTCGTTTTACTATTTATCTTTATACTAAATATTTTCCTGCCAATTGATCTTTATTATATTCGTCCTAAGCATACATCAAATATTTGCCACTGGACGTTAAAACAACCAACCATTATTCATGATCAATCAATATGTTCTTTAGAGTTCATCACCTCTATTCTGTTATCTATATTTTTTTGGCATCGGTCCCAGACTTACTTGTTTGCACATTATTCTAATATCTGTAAAACACCATCATATCCTTATAAATGATGACCTATTCATATCCTCATACATGTATGATGTGCATGGTAATTGAAACAAGAAACATAAAATAGAACTGTATGCTTGGGCTTTTAGAGAAAGTATATAAGTCCCAGATTCTGTTACAAAGTAGATCTTATGAAAATAAAATAGCATTTTATTAATGATTATTTATGAGGAAATGTCAATTCATTTTTACTGGACCGGGAGGAAAGAGGGGGAGGGGTAAAATAAATTGTCGATTGTCCTTGAAAATAAAGAGGGGACGGAAATACGACGTTCGGTTTAAAAAACAAATCTTGTATGGTATTGAAAAATAAATAGTTTAATTTGTTGCTGAATAAATTCACAAAACGACAGCTTTGGAGAAAAATAAGAAAATACATTCACAAGAAATGTTATTGTGGGTATAGGCTGTATTTTGGAATGAAGAGATACCCAAATATAGATGTATACCTTCATTATCGACATTAAACATATATTTGTACCTATTCTTTAAAAACACAGATCAGAAGTTTCACCTGGTAGTCGATCTTAATCTGTATTGTATTATAAACAAATAAAAATTCGTACTGTTCAAATCAACATGTAAATGTATTTTACACCAAAGCTTTTGCAAAGAGACATTACACACAGGTGTCAATACTTACACACCCACTGATAAGTTGTCATAAATCACGAATGTGGACGTGCCGTATTAATTAACGGCCAGTTAAAGAGTGGTTAATTTCCGCTCTAGATAAGAAGATGCAGTAGCAATAAAATTATATTAGAATTTTTCTTTGCGACATGAACTGGGGGGGGGGGGGGGGGGGGGGGCACGTGCCCCTGTGCCCCCCGGTAAATCCGCCACTGAGTTCATCGCCCAAGGTTACAAGTCTTTATTATACCACGACAACTGATTTCCACAGCAACAAGATAGAAGTATAAACCAAACATTGTCCGACATGAGACGCCTGACGAAAGTTTTTGTTAACTTTATTTTTTGGCCTATTTCTCTTCTTTATTATTCTGTCTATTTTCTCTCTCCTTTTGTCTATTTCCTCTATTCATTTTTTATACCATTATTCTATAAATTAAGCGTTTAATAAGCATCACAGTATAATCACATTTGAATTGGTTTACGCTGCGGAATTGAACATAAACTTCACTGATTATTGTTACATGATTGAAGAAAATACATGAATGGTGTGAGAATGCAAAATACATTCTGAGGTGACGAAAGTTTATGTAACAGCAATACACATGTCGGGTATTGGTTGGAAAATAAAACAATATGTGCATAGTAAATAAATACAGGCCAGCGATTTATGCTCGACTACATGTAAATGCATAAGACACACAATTGCATACTTATTTAACATTTATTGTAGGCCTGTCTTTCTGGAAACTTTACTTTTTATTCTCTTTTCTCTATTCTTTGGTCCTTTTCCTTTATTCATAATTTTGTTGTACTATTATTCTTTGAATTTAGTGTTTGATAGGCATTACGGTATAATCGCATTCTGAGGAATGACTAAATTCTATCTTTCTTTTCGGAATTGATGATGATTGAAGTTTTTAACGACCTTGACAGGCTATACAGCTTTAGCACTGTCGGTTTTGTGAATTGAAAGTGTGTATTGTATAATGTCATATCGTTCACACCTCCACATCAAGGTGATCCAATGAGAAATAAGCATTAATATGTTTATATTGTTACACGGACCAATCAACTGTGGGTGTAGGTGGGGCATGTTTTTTTTTATTTTGAATATTAAAACAAATACCGGGAATGTCGCATTACGTTTAAAACCTTTTTCACAATCAATTAAATTATTTTAACAGTTTCTGTTTATTTCGTGTACTTCTCTTCAGGGATATCTTATTTGTCTTGACCAGAGAGGCGATTAATAGATTTTAACAATAGAGTTTTTTGGCAAGTACATGTACAAATATTCAAGTAAATACATTATTTAAGGAAGTAATACAACGTGCATAATATGATAGTAGAACTATAAAAAACATATATTTCCAGCATGTATGAAGGAGTTCGTGAAGATTTCGGTAATATTTAAGTATAAATTAGGTTTCTCGTGTAGACTTCTTCGTGGAAATCATAGAGTTGAAAATATTTATATTTTTCACGATTTCCATTCTCAATTTTATATTTCTGTAAACTGTGAGCCTCTGACATGTCTTTCTGTGACCAATTGCCAATTGTCACAGAATAAAATTTGGGGAAAAGAAAGCATGTAATATATTAACTTTATTTCCTTCTGATTGAAGTTTTTTCCCCGGAAAATACACTAACTAATTATTCATTCACATGTATATCTCCGTATAATATTATATTCGGTAATACTTTTGAATGTAGTATGCTACATGCATTCCAATCTAAACAAAATAAAATAATGTTAGTCAAATAAAGACAAATCTGCTCTGTTCTATCATAAAACGATACTGTTAGTCAACGTAAACAATTTCAAATTACAAAATCAAACAATTGTAAAACAAAAAAATTAACAGGCAGGTGATTTATTGCAATATTAAGATTACTCGGTCTATATAATTCACTCGAATCTGATGTTTGAATCCCTTTAAAAGAATTGTGAAATATTAATTTCTCAACTGAAAGTAACGGGTGTAAATTGATTCATGTTATATAACACTTTTGGAAGTATGAATCATAAAAAAAATCGCGTGCCTGTTAAAAGCGCACATACCTATATGTATACCTGTAGCAACAGAAAAATAACATTGTTTATAATGATACTTAGTACTTCAATTGAATTTCATTATATCAATGGTATGATTAAATATACGATTTCAGCAATATGAATCCTTTCATTAATGTTAAATTCTATAAATCAATCAACTATTTAAACATTAATTCATTATACAACATTTTTTTACACTGTCATTGAAATTGACAAATAGCCGCTCCTACTAATTAATGCGGTTTCCTTTGATGTGAATTAAACTCAGGTAGGTCTGCTTTTGAAAACAACTCATAAGCTTTGGATGATGTTGACTTGTGGTAATTTAGAATATAAAGAACAAATGTGACTTTCTCAATTCTTTTCAGCGGTGAATTTTTACTCAATTTGCATTCATGATAATTGTATTAATTTGAAATACCACATATTATTTATGTAATTGCAATATTGTAATTCATAACTTTAAAACAACGTTCACGATATTGATCGCGAGATCTACTTCTTAATTAAATCGGACGTCTGTTAAAGGGCCGTCGTTATCTGATGGTATCAGAGGGATTATAAGGAAAAGTCAAATTTGCCGAGCGGAAAGACGATTTTAACTGCAGACGGCGAAAATAAATGACGGACAGCAAATTTTAAATACGAAAGCTAATATAAATGCAGAATGACTAGAAAATAGATCTAGTCAATAATATTAGCGTTTGACAGGCATCATAGCTAGTAAGCGGGCGAATTGGCACTTTGGTTTTTTCTAGTGTGTTATTACTGTTGATTAAATTTCAAATTCAAAGTAATAAACTATGACGTCTTGTACATTACAACCATCCGTATTTAATAAATCACACACTTGATCAAGCATCTCCGTGAAGGGTAATAGAGTATTTGCCATAGGATAGAGTCGTATTTAATAAAGCGCACACTTGATCAAGCCTCTCCGTGAAGGGTAATAGAGTATTTACCATAGAATAGAGTAAATTAACACCCTCGTATAAGCCAATAAAAATATTGCATTTTTATGTTTAGTATAACAATATATAATCACATATTTAACACCGATGATCTCTGCATCTTTGTACCCTGGCATAGACACAAACCAAATTGTCGCTACGAAACCACATAGTAACATTAATAACCTGTCTGAAATGCAGATACGACAGCTGAAAGCGCTAACAGTAACCATGTAATTCTTAGTGTTTCATGAAATATACTTGTATAAAGCAAATGTATTGACACGAAGGGCAAACTTTTGGTTCGATGGGCGAATTTTACCCCTGTGCAAAACTTTATGCATTCAGATCGCAACAATAACAACTTGTGAAAATATCCCTATTTACAGGATATATAAACATATATTTGTCTTCTTATTCATTGTATTATTAAATTTCAGGTGACAATGGAAACAAAGATGGGGAAATCCTTGCCAGACCGTATGAAGGATATGTTAGATAACCAGCTGATGTGTGATATTACGTTCAATGTCGGACCAAACAAGTCACCAACCAAAGCCCATAGGTACATGCTCGCCAGCGCTAGTCCTGTGTTTTACAGCATGTTTGATGGTCCTTTGGCAGAAAAGGGGGTTGTTGATATTCCCGACATCAGATATGAAGATTTTAGTTTGATATTACAGTATGTTTCATTTATGGTAAACACAGGTAGTTTGATATATTGAAAGGCATATGATACAGTTTTGATCCCACTGTGATTTTTTTTTGCGAAAATGTGCATACAACATGTATAAGCATTTTTTTCACCTAGTCTTTTCAAATGTGTAATAAGATATATACCGTCATGTGCTACTTTTGGAGATATATGGGGTCAAAATTTTAGACATTTACTAAAATTTTTGGTTTCTCGAATATTTCTATCCATTGGATAGCTATAGACATACCTAAATTTTGTTTCAAAAGGACTTTTGTAAAGAACATTTTGAATATATTATTTACAAAAGTGTGCCCTAAATTTGTGCAACAATTCTGTGGAAATAATATATTTTCATTAACTTTTCAAAAGTTTAAATAAAAAACAGCATTTTTTGTGGTATATTCATGATATTTATTTGATTTTAAAAAAGTTCCATCAGTGATTTGTTACAAATGATAATCATACATAATCAAGCCAAATGTCATTTAAAAAAAATAGTTATGAAAGAGGTCACTGCACTCGTTTTCAAGCTTGTGATAACAATGAGTTTGAAAAATGGATCTTTCCCAATATGTCACAGTTTTACATCGCGAAAAATAACATATGTTATTTGACGTCATTATCTCCCCTGTAACTGTATCGTATGCTCTTAATAAATTGCCATTTTATAAATAATTCATCATTAGGCAGTAAATGTCGTAGAGAAGAAACTAATGCTCTTTAAGAAAGTAATCCAAAAGGTCAAGCACACAAAGTATTTCACTCTACAGATTTCCATAGGGCACATTTTAATCTAGGTCACTTGTTCCCTTATGAAACATCAGGTAATTCGTTCATGTGATTTGCATTCTCTCAGGGAATAATGTTTTATCTATAAATTTCCACAGAAAATATAATCATCTTTCGCCCTGGTTTCTGCAAGGAACATTTTTTTATGGTATTTGAATGTGCTGTAGCAGGAAATAATTGAAACTGATATGATATCTTTAAATTTTGAACAAGTGTGGACACAGATGAGTGTGGATAGTGCATGTTTGATTAGTGTTAGTGTATTTGACTTTGTTGGTATCAAAGGTTTAATCCAATGAAGTATTGTTCTGGTGGGGTATACATATTTATCTAACTTGTATATGTCTTGTTATTTATCTTGTATATATGTTATTGTCTGCTGACGTCAAGGTGTTAGACATTTATATCCATTTAGCGGATATCTGTTATAATGATAGTTGGTGTCCATTAACTGCATTCCAATATGCGCAACATTGAATCCTGTAATTACATAGTACGATCTTTTCTTAAAAATGTGTTTATTGTAAAGCTAATGGTTTCTCTTAAAAGCTTGTTATATCAAAGCTAATTATATGCAACATTTTTTTGGCATGAATAACAAAATAAGGAATTATATTTTTAGAGTTTGAATTTGGGCAGTTAGTCTTTCTAGAGTTATTTATGCCCGTTATAACTTGAAAAATTGCAATTTTTTTCATTTCAGCACTAACTTAAGTTTGCCTCATCCAAATTTTATGAAATTCATACACAATGCTATAAATCACAACACACAATCAGAGTTCGAATTTGGGTAATGTGTCGTTTACCGTTCTAGAGTTATGTCCCTTTTTAACTGGGAAAATTGCAAATCTAGAGAGGGGGCATTCATGTCCTGAGACTCATTCTTCTTTTATTTTTAGGGTTGGTGTACCTATGCTATAGAAAACTAGGAAAGTAAGGTTATTGTTAAATCTAATGCGTTTTTTTTTTCTCCATTTTTGGCATTTAGCTATATTAAACATTTTGTTTGGTTCCAAAATCTAGTTGTTCTGGTTTTCCTATCGATACATTTTTCATTAGACTTTTTTTATTTACTTTTTGTTGATGTTAGACAGATTTGCCAATTTCCCTTCATCTATTTCGTTCATAAATTTAATATCAAATAATTGGCCGTGAAGTGTATAGAACTTTGAATATTTAAGAATACATTCATATATTTCACTAAGCATGCTAAGTAACTTTAATTGTTGTCCTCTCGCGTTGCACTTCTGCACAGACACTAACTATAAATAGTTGGAAAAAGTGCAGGAGTGAGCACTCCGTTTTGTAAATGAGGATTATACCTTATCATATGAAACCCTCTTGGATGTGGCAAATTTACGACTCTGCAGGTGAAAAGACACATGAAATTTACAAAATTCTTAATGAGAAGGCTCCAGTGTGTTTGAGTGACTTAATCAATCTAAAGGACTCAAAATATAATTTTAGATATAGTAGCATTCTGGACATACCACAGGTTAGAACTTGTACTTACGGTAAGAGATCATTCAGATATGCAGCCGCTTCATTATGGAATAGCTTGCCAAACCATTTCCGGACTGAAAATAGTTTTTCTCATTTCAAGAGTTTGCTTTAGTCCTGGAATGGTTCTAACTGCCATTGCTCAATCTGCAGAGTGCAGGTTGTTAAAATCTGCTTATGTTTGCTTTTTGTTCACAATGTCAAATCTGGTTTCTCTGTGCATAGTTATTTAAGTGGAGACTCAGAGAGGCGATTGCCACATGGGTCCACGCTTGGATCTATGTTCAGCTCACCAAATTTTTCAAAGTACACTCATTTGTGGTCTGGCTTTACTTAAATATATATTTATTTGATTTTTGCTTGGTGCAAATGCTTATTAATTGTTTACAGTTGAATGCTTATGCTTCATTTTTATTAACATGATTAAATTTCTTAATTATCACACAGATCTTTAATTTTAGATTTTTAATTATGTTTAAAATGGCCCATACTTTTATTTTTTATAGTGCTAATTAATGAATTACTGTGTTTATTAATATCAAATTTTAATCATGATTTTATCTATATTCTTAATTTTCTTGGTGCTTATTCCAAGTTTTTTAGTAGATCTATACATTTATCTTTCTTCAAATTAGCCCAAACATACATGTATCAAACCAAGATTCACATATAAATGCCAAATTATGTGTATTTTATGCATGGTGTTATTATTGTTTTTGTCTCACCTTGATGGAGTCAAACAGCGAGACATAGGTATGCTGTTTCTGGTGTCGGCGGCGTCAACAATGTATTAAGTTTGTGATTAGGTCTAGCTTTTGGTAAACTACAAGTGGTAGGTCAATGATATTTGGTATGCAGTTGTATTAGCATTGGCACATTTCATTTCCATGTAGATTATTTGGCCCTGCCTGCCGCCTCAGTCATGGTCTATTGACTTTGAAACTTGTTTAGTTTACATGTATTAGTTTGTGATTAGGTCAGCTTATGGGGAACCACTAACTAGTGGTAGGTCAATGATATTTGATATTCAGTTGTATAAGCATTGGCATATCACATTTCCATGGAGATTATTTGACTCCGCCCCCTTAGTCATGGTTTATTGACTTTGAAAATTTTGCTTAGTTTACATGTATTAGTTTGTGATTAGGTCAGTTCAAGGGGAACCATTAGTGGTAGGCCAATGTTAATTGATATTCAGTTGTATAAGCATAAGCACATCTCATTTCCATGGAGAATATTAGGCCCCGCCTCCTCAGTCATGGTCTAATGACTTTGAATCTTTTGCTTAGTTTACATGTAATAGTCTGTGATTAGATCAGTTTAAGATGAACTGCTAATGTTAAGTCAATGATATTTGATATGCAAATTTATTGGCATTTGGAAGTATCGTTTTTGGTTCATTGACTTTGAATATTTGCATAACTTACATGTTAAAGTGTTGCTATTTTAATTTCAACATTTGCTCAATCAAAATTACAAAAAGGCAAGACATATCTCTGTGACAACAGTTTATTATGTTATTGATATGTTTTTATATTTGGTGAAAAGCTCTATCGAGCTTGTGTTTTATAGTTTAAAAAAAATGCCAAATCAAAATAAAATTTTCTTATTTTATCTTTCAATAGATGCCTAGCATTGTTACACAAATTTTTTCAATTTAAATTTAACTTTTTCAAGGATTTTGTTTTTGTGGTTAGCTTATTCACTTTGCAGAAGAATTAATATGCAAAAGAGCGGTATAACAAGAATTATTATTGGCTGCTAAAACTGAATTTTCTACTAAACACTTTTATTAGTTTATAATGTTGTTTGTACAACTTAATGAAAATAATTGTTTTGAAGTGTGTACTTAACAATCATTTTAGCGGTGCACCTGTCTTAACATGGTATTTAGCTCACCTGGCCTAAAAGGCCAAGTGAGCTTTTCTCATCACTTGGTGTCTGTCGTCGTCAACTTTTACAAAAATCTTCTCCTCTGAAACCACTGGGCCAAATTTAACCAAACTTGGCAACAATCATCATTGGGGTATATAGTTTAAAAAATGTGTCCGATGACCCAGCCCACCAACCAAGATGGCCGCCATGGCTAAAAATAGAACATAGGGGTAAAAAGTAGATTTTGGCTTATATCTCTGAAACCGGAGCATTAAGAGCAAATCTGACAGAGGGTAAAACTGATTATCAGGTCAAGATCTATCTGCCTTGAAATTTTCAGACAAATCTGACAACCTGTTGTTGGGTTGCTGCCCCTGAATTGGTAATTTTAAGGAAATTTTGCAGTTTTTGGTTATTATCTTCAATATTATTATAGATAGAGATAAACTGTAAACAGCAATAATGTTCAGCAAAGTAAGATCTACAAATAAGTTGTTATGACCAAAATTGTCAGTCGACCCCTTTAGGAGTTATTGCCCTTAATAGTCAATTTTTAACAATTTTTTGTAAATTTTTGTAATCTTTTACAAAAATCTTCTCCTAAAACTACTGATATAAATTTAACCAAACTTGGCCACAATCATCATTAGGATATCTAGTTTAAAAAATATGTCTGATGTCCCCGCTTACCAACCAACATGGCT